GTCACCTCCATTCGCCTCCCCAGCTGGCCTCTGGCCGTGCTAGCAATGTAGCCTGTGGCCTAGAGGTTGGAGAGCAGAAGGGAGGCATGGGGAGCCAGTGGGAGGGAGCCAGAATCATCAATTGCAGACTATTTTCAGATCTGGAGGCATTGAATATTTTCGGTCCTGAATTTTTGGCTGAAACAGTAGAGCTGCTTGCTGAGAACCAGGGTGTCTGTCTTCCCTTTTGTACTTGAATGTTCTTCTTAGTGCTTCGTGTCCTTGGAGGGGAGAAGATGGCTGTGAAGAGCCCATCCAGCTGTTGCCCTTGGCTGCAGGTGGGTGGACGTGCCTCCTGCCTGTCCGTCGGCTTGGCTCTCTGGCAGCAGCGGGCAGGCTTGTAGCCTGTGTTCCCTGTTGAGACCCTTTCACTCCTGTTTTGTGTGATCCAGCCTTGTTATTCTTTTCCCCTCTGCTGAGTTCAGTGAGAGCCTCACTCTGGTTGGAGCCACTGGGGCTGATGACTCTCCGATGACCCAGGTGAACTAGCAGTTAGCTAGTTTTTTCCTCTGGTATCAAAGGAAAAGCCAAGGAAGGGTGGCTACTAACTTAGAGAGGGTGCCACTGTCACCTGACCCCACTGTCTGCCACCTCCTGAGTGACAGAAGGTAAGATCCATCTGTTTGTTCCAATGTGACTAGACCACAAAAAAACAATTAGCAGATGGGAAATGTATTTTTCAGGACACACCTAAACCTGCCATTATAGTGAGGATTCTGGTGCTAATTTAGATGCAAATGGGATCACCCAACTAGAGCTGATTACAGAAAGGTCAGAATGTCTATATGCTCAATTTCATTCCTATGCTGTGCAGTAAATTAGTGTGCTGCTGCAGTTGCGGGCATGATGGCTGGGTTTGGTTCTGGCTTTAATTTTTTTGTAGAGCTTTGGTTTTATAGAAGTGGAATGTGATGTGTGATGTCACCTCACCACCCTCACCCACCTCCTTTTTAAGGTGAGGTCATACTCACCTTAAACAAATACCCTGTCCACAAGAAAATATGCTGTCCATTTTGCCTATTTCTGAGAAACTTGAAATTCTAATAAAAAATAAAAACACACTTTTGGAGTTCTTAGCCTAAGACAAAAAAGAGTAGATTGTAAATTCAGTCGCTGTTCTGTTCAGAAAACTGATCTCACCTATGTGTGCACTTCTTCCAGGCCAGACCATGCTGGGTTATAGCTTGGAGCACAGGGAACTGGGGATGAGAACTGGTGGGTTAAAGGATGGCATAGATGATTGTGAACTGTGCTCCTGTGGTGTTTTTCAGATGTTTTTGGCTGCAGCTCACAGTCAGAAATATATTTTATATGTTTTCATATATATATGTATTTACTGAATTTGCAAGCAAAGCACATATATGTGTTGCCTTATGTATATTTCCAACAAAATATGTATACACAAGTTTGACAAAACAGGACTTGCCCTTACTACATACATTCAGGGAACTCTGATATTTTCTACTGGAATCTGATGTAAACCATTAATGAACCAAAAACTGAATTCACTACCCACTCTTGGATCTCAAACTATAGTTTCAAAAACACCAGCTTAAGGGATTGGTGAAGATTCTTGGTGTGAAGAAGGACCCGGGCAAGGGCTTTAGGAATGTGGAGAAGATGGGTGGAGAAAGGTTTATTTCCAAGGATGGACTAAACTGGCCTTGATAACAGTAAAATCAAGTACCTGAGTCTGGAACTTGGGTTGAAAGTAACCACATAATAGTGCTTAAGCAGATACATTCTTTAGAGTAACAACTGTTCTTGTCAGGGTCAATTATTTGTTTGTAAACACTGAATTTTCTTTAGGTTATTTCAGTCATTGTGGCCCACCTTTAGCATGAAATAACATTCTTAAGCTTTAGTATCCCTAAACTTTATTATTGTATATGATATGGCAGTAAGGTAGAATGTCATTTACTGTTTCTATTAGTATTGCTATATACATTTGTAGCTACCTGCAATTCTTTATAGAACAAGGTAAATAAATATTGATAGTCATCTCTAAGACAGAAAGTCTTACTTACATTAGCAGCTGATTGCCCTTCGTAATGGGAGCATGAAGAGGATGCTACTTTCCAGTCTTGCTAATGCATCTTTAGGGCATTAGCAAAAGATTTTGTTTTACACTCTGCACAGCAGAGCATCTTTTCCCTGGTGGTTTATTGTTAGCTTTCCAAGTGATCACACTTAGGCTCTGGTCTCATCCTTGTTGAGGAGGTTGCCTATTTGGGGGATTAGAGGAAGTTTCTGAAAGTTAGATAATGGGGCAGGAAAAGATTTTCTGGCATAAAAAGCTCCTAAAGGCTCTGAGGATATGGGGGAAGGAAAAGATGGAAGGAGAGGGAGCCAGATTCTCCTGATTTGGGTATTTATTTAAGGTGAGTATGACCTCAGTTTATAAAGAATATGCAACTTAATGCTTAATGGACTTGGGTTTTTAATATTTATAGCATGTTATATAAAGGCTGCCTCTCCAAGTGCTTTCTTAAATCCTCTTAGCTTGTAAATGACAGCTTTGGTTTCTAAAAAAGAAATCTTTTCATTTATACAGCCTAACAGTAGTAAACAATAGATGTTTACTGCCCTTCTTTCATGTTAGCCCTCAAAGACTGAGACTTATAATCTAAGGAGTTTATTGCTGTGCTTTCGAGCTTTTTAAGGTCATGTGTAACTTAAGGAAGAAAAGCTGATGCTACATTATTGGTACAAAGGCTTGAATTTGTATGACATGTCAGTTCAGAAGTGTTCCATAGATAAGTTGAAAATATTGTATTACAGAAACTACATACATGGCCTGTTTAGAATGATTATGCAACTTTTTTTAGTAATCAAGATTGTTGGGTAATTAGATTATTGCCTAAATCATTCAGGATTAAGTTTCTGCTAAAGGGTCCCAAGTTTGCAGTAGTGAAGTGGATGTGAGCTAATATAGGATTCATTTCCCTCTTAGCTATGATTGGTGACATCGGTTATTACAGAGATCTTTATAGAATATGTCTCTCTACTCTCTGGGGCCTTCAGGACACATGCAGAGGATAAAAAATAGTTAAAAGTCAAACTAATCTCTGAAAAATATAAATTACTAGATCTTTGGGGCTATCATTTACTCAGGAAAAAGTACATTCTATATGCCAGGCTTTGTACATTGCATTGGGGGTAATAAAGGAAAAAACACAGTGTGTGTCCCAGGGCAGCATTCGGAGTGCTCCATACATGGGACTAGAAAACATTCAGGAAACACAAAGATGGAAGCAGTTTGTTTCAGAAGCAGGAGCAGACCATAAAAAGCACTCTTCTCAATGTGATTTATTTGTTAAATAGTCGATGCTTACCTGTTTCTGTTGATATATTTGGGCCACAGAGAGCTCTTTGAAGTTGGTCAGATGACATAGTGGTGTATTGAATGTCTGAGAGTTTGCAATGTTGGCACCAAGCTGGGAGAAGGGGATTTGCACCATGATATGTACTCAGACCACTGTGGAATGAACTTCTCATTAGATTCTAATGCACTGGATGAGCATGCCTTGCTTAGGATAAAGAAAACAGACACACTGATTTGGTAATATCTTATCCACCTGGGCTCATCTATCCAGAAGATAGCTGAGCACCAAAAACTTTTTAAAAGTTATTTAAGCAGCCAAAATAGATATCTCCAAGCCTTTATGCACAGATGCATCCACTCAGGGCTCATCTACACTTATGTAGCAGATCTGGACATCTGGTTTCTAAACTAATGTGTGGATTTTGAAAGCCGAAAATTAAAAGGGGAAGAGGAATGGAATATAAAAGGAATGGCCCAGTAACCGTATGATAATGTGAAAGCTATCACTTTTAAAGGAAGGAAAAGAAAGAAGATTTTAAAAAATAGAAAAGAGAAAATAAAAATTACTCAAAAAGTATTGCCATCTGTTTTGTTTAGAATCGAGTACATTTGTATCATGGTGGAAGTACTGCTAAGATTTCTAGGGTGTGTGGTATTAGAATCTGAATGTTTGAACTATTTCTCTGGTGGTTTTCATGCATTCAGATGTGGCTGTTTCTTTATACTTATGCAGGACAATTGAGGACTCTGGGAATGACCTCTATTTATTAAGAGATGGTATATTCTCATCTTAGGAGGGCAAAGATGTATATACTAGCCCTTAAAATATTCCCAATAAAAGTGTTTAAGGTTAGAATTTTGATATGTTAAGCATCAAATCCTCAGCTTCTTAAAAAATTTGGCTCTTCAGAGTCATATTCACTGAAAAGTTGACATTTTACTCATGAGAATATCATACCAGGTAGCAAATATTAATTTGTATTATAGAAAAGTCACAGTTACTTTATAAGCAGTAAGTTCTTATAGTGCTTTATAAATAACATCTGACGTGTATTATTCAGTTATAAAAATTTGACTTGCAACTCTCCAGAAACACATCTGAACATCTGTAGCACTTTGTGTCTGTACTGTTGTTTTGCAATTTATATTATCATTTTGCTTGTTATAGCTCATCTTCTTGGACATAAAGAATGTTCTTATGTTTTCAGCTTCTTGTACATAGTAGGTCCCAATAAATGTTTATTGAATGACTAATAATGAAACAAGTTATTCTGAGCTTTCTAATTAATCCTTTACTAACCGTGTAAATACTTTCAATTATCTTTTTTCTTCATTTTTGATTACACCCTAAAATCTTTATGGTATTTGAACTGCATTTGATGATTAGGGTTGTCAGAACACTTGAATTGATTCTTTATGCCTTTCTTTTCCCTTACTGAATTAAAGGGTGGAAGCAGTATAAGGTATTGTGGAATGTGAAGAGGTTATAGGCTTCAGATAAAGCTCTGAAGTGTGTTTTCGTGGCAGGCATGTTCTTGTCTTGATGTCACTGTGGTGAGGCTGGGGTCCACGGGAGAGGCGTGTATCACAGCATCAAGAGGAGGCTCACCTATGCTTACTCTGTTGTTGGTCGTAGGTGACTGTGGAGGAGGTCATGACCACAACTGCGTATCTGGACCTTTTCCTGCGTAGCATCTCCGAGCCAGCACTGCTTGAGATCTTCCTCCGTTTTATCCTATTGCACCAGCATGAGAACGTCCACATCCTAGACACTCTCACGAGTCGAATCAACACCCCGTTTCGGGTAAGGAGAACCCTAGCAGAAGGGAACTTATAAATCAGAACAAATTTCAGGAGAGTTTGTTTTGGGAATGAAATTATGAATATTCTCTTTTGCTCTTTTTTTTTTTTCTTTTTCCTCCCCGCCCCCACCATTCTTTCTTTACTTTCTTTCTTTCTTTTGTTGTTATCATTTTGTGGCCATTACTTTCTTTCTACTTAGGTAGAGATGAACAGGGTAATATGTTTTGGTCTCAGGAATTCTTCTGTCAAGGAGGTGACACTTACTGCTGCCTTTCATAGGATGTCTTTCTTGATTTCTCTGTATTAGCACTTTCTTCTGTAGAACTAGCAGAATGCACTTCTGTAGGGGCAAGATGCAGGGGAATATGTGGACTTAAGTGCAGGTAAAGCCAAGGAACCAGAGTGCATCAAGTCAGGGTATTAGAGATCATATTTCTGCCCATGAGTTTTTTTGAAATGGAAGTTTGGAAAGTTTTGAATTTGGGTGGTCATTCTTTATTTTGAAGCTCTAATTAGCTTGAAAAATACTCCTCCCCAAAGGCTGTCTCTATTTAATTGCAATTCTTGTTTTAAAAGCAAACAAATGAGAATGTATCTGTCATTTGGTTTGTAACATATATAGAGGTAATATGTATAATAATAATTGCACAAAGGGAGGAAGAGGGAATAGACTTATATAGGAGTAATATTTCTATATTTTATTAGAGCTAATTTAATATAAATCTGTAGTAAATTCTGTTAAGTTAAAATGTATACTGGAAGCCCTAAAGCAAGAAAATAACTAAAAAAATATACTGGAAAAATCATTTAAAGGAATTTAAATGTTATACTAGAGAAAATACTCAATTAGCACCACACTTAACAGCAATATAATATACATTCTCATCAAATGTACATAGAATATTCTCCAAGACAGACCATATGTTAGGCCATATAACAAGCCTCAGTGAATTTAAGAGGATTTAAATCATGCAGAGTATGTTCTCTGATCATAATGGATGGAAATTAAAAAGTTATTGACAGAAAAAAATTTGGGAAATTCACAAGTATATGGAATTTAAATGATACACTTATAATTAGTGGGTCAAAGAAGAGATCACAAGGGAAATGAGAATTTCCTTTGAGATAAATAAGAATGAAGATGAAATATTACCCAGATTTATGAGATACAGTAAAAGCACTGTTTAAAGGTAGATATATAGTTGTGAACACATATGTTAAAAGAAGAGGAAAGAGCTCAAAGCAGCAACCTAAGCTGCTACTTCAACACACTGGAAAAAGAAGAGCAAACTCAAAGCAAGCAGAAATAAAACAATAAGGATTAGAGCAGAAGTTAATGAAATTGAAATTTTTAAAAATGGAGAAGATAGGTGAAATAAAAAGTTAATTTTTTGACAAGATTGACAAACCTTTAGCTAGACTGAGAAAAAAAGAGGGAAGTCTCAAATTACTAAAATGAGAAATGAAAGAGGAGGATATTACAAATCTTACAGAAATAAAAACAATTATAAGTGAGTACTATGAGCAACTGTATGCTAGAGGATAACTTAGATGAAAGAGACAAATTCTAGAAAGACACAAACTTATGAAATTGAAAATCTAAATAAATTTATATCAAAATAGAGATTAAAATAGAAATTTAAAAAGCTACTCACAAAGAAAAGCCCAGACCCAGATGGCCTCACTGGTGAATTCTATCAAACATTTAGGGACTAGTTAAAAAGTAAGGTCAGCAAAGTGGTGGAATAGGAAGACCCAGGTCCTTATTCCCTCACAGAGAAACCCATTTAACAGCAATTTATGCAAATTGCCTTTGTAAGAATGAGAAACTTTGTAAGAACACTGGTTAAAAGGTTGCAGCACAAAGCCAAGAAGAGACATTGAATGTGTAGGAAAACTGGTGGCATTATTACCTGCTCTAGCCATGCCCCCTCCCCACCACAGTGTGGCAAGATCCAGAGAAAATTTCCAACTACTGACTTTTACCTTGTGAGGGAAAGAGGAGACTGAATTGCTTGCTTGACATTGCTTGCTTCTTATGTTCCGTCTGTTCATTGGGAAAAGAGGAATAAAATAGCTGCAAGACACTTAAAAAAGCAACAAAACAGCAATAGTAAGTCCTTCCATCTCAGTAATTATTTTAAATGTAGATGGATTAAACACCCCAATCAAAAGATATAAACTGGCTAAAGAGATAAAAAGACAAGATCCAAGAATATACTTTCTGAAAGACATTCACTTTTGATCTGAGAACATGCATACGCTGAAAGTCAAAAGATGGAAAAAGATATCCCATGCAAATGGTAACTAAAAGAAAGCAGAGATGGTTGTACTTATATTTAAAAATTAGACTTTAAGATAAAGAGACACAAAAGGATGCAAGAGATAAGAAATAACATTAAGCAATGATAAAAGGGTCAGTTCACTAGTAAGATATAAAAATTATATATATGCATATAAAAATTATCTATCTATATATGAACATAAAATCAGAGTTCCCAAATATATGAACCAAATATTAACAGAATGACAGGGAGAAATAGACAGCTGCACAATAATAGCAGGAGACTTCAATGCCCCAATATTTAGTGAATAGAAATATCAGACAGAAGATAAAGAAGGAAACAGAGGATTTGAACAACACTATAAACCAATTGGACCTGACAGACATATACCAAATACTTCATCCAGCAATGGCAGGATATATGTTCTTCTCAAATACACATGGAATATTCTCCAGGATAGATCACATGTTAGGTCACAAAGCAAGGTTTAACACATTTACAAAAATTGAAAGTGCACAAATAATTTTTTCCTGACTGCAATAGAATGAAACTAGAAATAAACAGCAGAAGGAAAACTGGAAAAAATTATGAATACATACAAATTAAGCAACAGACTATTGGGCCACAGAAGAAACCACAAGGGAATTTAGAAAATATCTGGAGACAAGTGAAAATAAAAGCACGACATGGCAAAACTTATGAGATGCAGTGAAAGTAGTACTAAGAGGGAATTTTATTGCTGGAAATACTTAGGTTAAAAAAGAAAATCTTGAAGCAACAATCTATACATCTCCAGACACTAGACAAAGAAGAATGAACTAAACTTAAAGTTAACAGAAGGAAGAAAATCATAAAGATCAGAGCAAAAATAAATTAAAGAATAGAAAAAAAAATCAATGAAACCAAGACTTGGTTTTTTGAAACAACAATAACAACAACAACATTGATTAACCATTAGCTGAATTAACTAAGAAAAAGAGAGATGACTCAGATAACTAAAATTAGAAATGAGAAAGGGGACATTACAACTTATGCCATAGAAATAAAAAACAGCATACCACAATTATATACCAACAAACTGGATGACTTAGAATACCTGGATACATTCTTAGAAACATATAGCCTACCAAGACTGAATCATGAAGAGATAAAAATATCTGAACGTATTTACCTCTAGTAAGGAGATCAAAGCAGTAATAATAATTAAAAAATCTTAAAGAAAAACCCAGGACAAGACGGCTTCAGTGACGAATTCTACCAAACATGTAAAGAAGAATTAACATCAGTCATCCTTGAATGTCTAAAAAATTGAAGATCCAGAAACATTTTAAACTAATTTTATGAGGCCAGTTTTGCCCTGATACCAAAGCTAGACAAAGATACTTCGAGAAAACTAGAGGCCAGTATCCCTGATGACTATTGATATAGAAATCTTTGACAAAATACTAGCAAAAAGAATTCAACAGCACATGATAAGGACTGTACAACACGGACAAGTGTGACTTATTCCTAGAATGCAAAGATGCTTCACCATATGAAAGTCAATCAGTGTAATATACCACACTAACAGAATGAAGGACAAAACCCACAGAGTAACCTCAACTGATGCAGAAAAAGCACTTGACAAATTCAACAACCTTTCATGATAAAAACACTCAACAAACTAGAAATATAAAGAAACAACTTCTACATAGTGAAGGCCTTACATGAAAAGCCCACACCTAACATCTTACTCAATGGTGAAAGACTAAAAGCTTTTTCTCTAAAATCAGAAACAAGGCAAGGATGGCCACTTAGAGGTCTTAGCCAGAGCAATTAGGTAAGAGAAAGAAATAGAAGGCATTTAAATTGGAAAGAAAGAAGTTAAACTGTCTCTGTTTGTAGACAACATGATCATATAAATAGAAAACCCTGAAGAGGTCACCAAAAAAATGTTAGAGCTAACAAGCAAATTCAGTAAAGTTGCAGGATACAAAGTCAACACACATAAATAATTTCTATATACTAACTATGAACAATCTGAAAAGGAAATTTGAAAAAACTATTTATAATAGCATAAAAAAGAATAAAATACTTAGGGATAAACTTAACTGAGGAAGTGAAAGACTTGTACGCTGAAAACTACAAAACATTATTGAAAGAAATGAAAGAAGAACAAATAAATGGAAAGATATTCCATGTTCATGGATTGAAAACCTTATTTTTGTTAAAATAGCCATATTACTCAAAGCAATTTACAGATTCCGTGCAATTTCTTACAAAATCCGAATGGCATTTTTTGGGCAGATATAGAAAAAAATCCTAAAATATATATGAAATCTCAAGGGACCATGAATAGCTAAAATAATATTGAAAAAGAAGGAAAAAGTTGGAGAGCTCACACTTTCTTATTTTAAAACATATTACAAAGCAATAGTCGTACAAAACAGTGTGGTACTGGCATAAAGACCAATGAAACAGAATAGAAAGCAGAATGAAACAGATATGAACCGTTGTATTATGGTAAATGATCTTTGGCAAGGCTGCCAAGACTACACAATAGGAAAGGATGGTTTCATCAACAAATGATACTTGTAAAACTGGATATCCACATGCAAAAGAATGAAGTTGAACCCTTACCTTACACAATATAAAAAATTAACTCAAAATGGATCAAAGACCTAAACATAAGATCTAAAAGTACCAAACTCCTAGAAGAAAACATAGAGGAAAACTTCATAGCAATGGATTTTGTAGTAATTTCTTGGATATGACACCAGAAGCATAGGGAAAAATAGACAGATGGGAGTACATCAAACTTAACAACTTAGGCATATCAAATGAAATAATCAACAAGGTGAAAGGGCAACCTACAAAATGGGAGAAAACATTTATGAGTCATATATGTGATAAGGGATAGTATCCAGAATATATAAAAAGTCATAAAACTCATCACCAACCAAAAACCCAAATAATCTAACTTAAAAATGAACAAAGTACTTGAATATTTCTACAGAGAAGACATACAAATGACCAAAACACATATGAAAAGATTAGAGAAGTGTAAATAAAAACCACAATGAGATATTATCTCATATCCATTATGGTGGCCACTATAAAAAAAAATAGAAAAAAGTAAGTGTTGGTGAGAATGTGCAAATACTGAAACCTTTGTGCTTTGTTTATGAGAATGTAAATTGGTGCAGCCATTAACAGCATGGCGGTTTCTCAAGAAATTAAACATAGAATTACTGCATTATCCAGCAATCCCACTTCTGAGTATATATCTAAAAGGATTTAAAGCAGGATCTTGAAAAGATATTTGTACACCCACGTTCCTTGCAGCATTATTCACAATAGCCAAGAGGTTGAAGCAACCTAGATTGTCCATTGATGGATGAATAGATAAGAGGGTATGTCATATACACACAGTGGAATAGAATGTTATTCAGACTTAAGAAAAGGAAATCTTGTCACATGCTACAACATGATCTTTGAGGATGTTATGCTAATGAAGTAAGCCTGTCACAAAAAAGACATGAGAAGACATGTGTAGGATTCCACTCATGTGAAGGATCTAAAATAGTCAAACTTAAAGAAACAGAGGGCAAAATGATGGTTTCCTGGAGCTGAGTGGTGGGGAAAATGGGGAGTTGTTTGGTGGTTTCAGTTTTGCAAAGTGTAAACGTTTTAGAGATCTGTTGTGCAACAATGTGAATATAGTTACCACTAGTGATTTGTATGCTTAAAAATCATTAAGATGTTAAATTTTATGTTATGTATTCTTCATCAGTTTAAAAAATGAATAATTTATACAAATTCTTCACAGAATCTTTCAAAAATTAGAAGAGGAGGAAATACATCTCAACTCATTCTATGAAGCCAGTATTATTCTGATTCCAAAACTAAACACATATACCACAGGAAAACTATACACTAACAGCTATTGTGAATATGGGCCCCAAAATTCTCAATAAAACACTAGCAAATGAAATTAGAGTAAGTGGAAAGGATTATACACCGTGATCAAGTGGGATTTATCAAACTAGGATTGTAAAGCTGGTTTAAGGTCTCAAAACCAATTAATGTAATAACATCGTATCAACAAGATAAAGGAAAACATCATGATTATCAACAGCATACTCAACAAATTAGAAATAGAGGGGAATTTCCTAGCAATCTGATAAAAGGCATCTGTGAAAATATCAGAGCTAACATCATTCATACTTAATGGTGAAGAATGTTTTTTCAGTAAGATAAGGAATAAGATAAGATGCCTTCTCTCATCAATTCTGTTCAAGATGGTACTTGAAGTTCTAGCCAGGGCAAATAAATAAGAAAGTAAAAAACATTTATATTAAAAGTAAAACAATCAGTGTTTGTAGATGACATGCTCTTGTATGTAAAAAACTAAGGAATGCACTAAAAATTGTTAGAATGAATGAGTATAGTAAGGTTGCAGGATACAAGATTAATGTACAAAAATCAATTTACAATAACATCAAAAGAATAAAATATGAATAAATTTTACAAAAGAACTACAAAACTTATGCTGCAAAAATTATAAAACATTGTTTAAATTAAAGAAGACCTAAATAAATGGTAAAACATCCCATGCTCATAGACCAGAAGACTTAATATTGTTAATATAGGAATACTCCCCAAATTGATCTACAGTTTCAGTGCTTTTCTATAAAACTCCTATCTGGCCTCTTTGTTGAAATGAATAAGCTGACTCTAAAATTCATATGGAAATGCAGTGGACCCAGATAGTCAAAACAAACTTAAAGAAACAAGTTGGAGAACTCACCATACCTGGTTTCAAAACTCTACAAAGCTACAGTAATCAGAGCAGTATGGTACAGGATAGACATACAGATCAGTGGGACAGAATTGAGAGAAATAAACTCGTATATCTATGTTCACTTAGTTTTCAATGAGATTTCAAGACCACTCAGTGGGAGAAAGAATAGTCTTTTTAACAAATGGTGCTGGGACAATTGGATATCCATGTGCAAAATAATAAGGCTGAATCCTCACTTCATGCCATATAAAAACTTAACTCAAAATGGATCAAAGACCTAAATGTAAGAGCTAAAACTATAAAACTCTTATAAGAAATCATACGAGTAACTCCTCGTAGCTTTGGCCATGTTTTCTTAGATATGACACCAATAGCATGAACAACAAATGAAAAAATTGATAAATTGTAAATTATCAAAATTAAAAACTTTTGCCTTCAAAGGACATCAACAGGAACTTGAAAAGATAATTCACAGAGAGTGGTAGGAAATTTTTGCAAATCATATATCTGATAAGGTACTTGTATACAGAGTAAACACCTCCTACAACTCAATAATAAAAAGACAGATACACCCTGCTGCTCACCCTTAACAGTGATCAGTTATGTAATTATTATATACTATTACTACATAATCTGATAAAGTAACAGTGATTTGCAGGGGATACTGTGGCAATAGATAAGAAGGAAACCTAACTAAGCTGGGGAAAGGAGGTGTTGGATGGTAATATTGTGAGACAGAACAGAAAGATTTCTTAAGGGAGGTGATGCCTTAGCTAAGACTTTGAGAATAGATAGGCAGTGGAGTAGTCAGGAAAAGGCATTGCAGGTAATGGAACCACATGTGCAAAGACTTGGTAATGGGAACAGAGTATGTTGCTTCTAGCTAACTACAAGTATATGACCTACCCTGAGACTAAGAAATGTTTTGGGTTAGGCTAAGTACAACTCTTTCTTTACAGACTTGTTGTGGATTTCATGGCCAGATTTTAAGCCCAGTCTGCCTACAAGACAGGCTAGCATTTATTCTCCCGTACAAAGAATGAGAGCTTAAAATTACTTAAATTGCCCAGTAGATTGATAAAAGCTTACTCTCAAAAGGGGTACAAAGATTTTACAATACACCTTTGGGTATCTCCCCTATTTGGCAGTTTACCTTTTCTTTTTGGAAATCAGAGATTGATAGAATTCTTGTTTTTAAATGAACATCTTTGAAAAGAACATTATCTCACCCTCAGCACAATGGGAAATGGAGCCAAGGAAAATGTTTGCCCCAAAGCCAAGAGAGGAGCTGAGCTTGAGGCTAAGAACTCTGAAGGGAGACTTAGCTAGGCTATATGCAATTTTCTGTGAGCCCTGTCTTGTAAATAACTAATGTCATATTTGAAAATAACTCAGGAAAACAAATCACCTAAACAAGAGTGTGAGAGAGTGTGTGTATGTGTGTGTGTGTGTTTTAGAGAGAGAGAGAGAGAGAGAGAGAGAGAACTGGAGCATTGTAGAGGGAATGTTTATCTGTCTGGATCTTTAAAAGTTGGAAATATGAGCACAGGCATTTTTGTAGGAGGATAATTCTGCACAGTGGCATAATTCCAGACACTGGCTTTCTAATCAAATCCTATAGAATTGATATCCTGAATACACGTTCTCTCTGGCAGCAGCATGCTTTTTTATCAAAACTGCTAAATAAAAAGAGAGGCCATTTTATTTTGTAATTCTGATTTATTTACCATCTGTGGGGAGTGCGGTTATCATTCCAACATTTGAACTAGAATATGTGTCTCTTGCTTCCCAGCTTTGTGTGGTGTCCCTGGCATTATTCAGAACTCTGATTGGTTTACATTGTGAAGATGTGATGTTACAGCTAGTTCTAAGGTGAGTTTCCTTTTTTTTGGTTTCCTTTAAAGAAAGATTCACTTCATACTTATATTACTTTATATTCATATACTTTATCTTATTTATATACTTTATATTACTTCAGTTATATAAGCTAAATAGGGACCATGTGTCTAAGGAAGAAAATTTTCAAGAACATTAATTTATTTTCTGCATTGTTTCCCAAGATTAATTTTATTTGTACTGTTAAAAGTTTTTAGAGGGCCATATGTATTCTGTTGTAAATATGCTCCTGGAAATTATAGATAGAATGCTTGAAAATGTTTGGGAGTATTATAAAAGCTATTCTGGTCTGTGGCTGAATGTCTTTCCCCTGAAGTGCATTTAGAGGGGACTTTTGCTATTAAAAGCAAGTTTTCCAAATATAAAATACTTTTGATATGTAATTTCTTTGATTTCTGCTTTGATAATGGTACACACCCAATATATACTCTTCAATCAGTATGCTTCAGTTAAATTCAGTAAAAATTTGATGAGTATCTGCTGTGAACTGGAAATGACTTATATATAAGGTAGCAAAGGTGTGTCGTTTGGACAGAAGTACAGATGGGAAAGGTTTTATGAAGTGGCTGGGATTTGAAGATGAGTATTAGGAGTCAAGATGCACAGCTATTAAGAAGACATTCATTTGGCAATTTAATAGTGGACTCAGGAACACCAAATCCTGCCTTGGCCCAGCAGTGCTTCCTCTTCTATGGAACCCTGTGAGAAGCATCTGTTTCTGTGGAGTAAAGCAATAATGCTTCCTTATTAGCTCATGATTCAGCCCCGAATCTCAGCACAGAATGCTAGAAACCCCCAGTTAGACCATGATGCACGTCTTTCCTTCTTTTCATTAAACCCAGATCCTGAATCTTGGGGTTGACTACTCTAGTGAAACCCTACCCCAGCACTGCAGGAAATGGACCCAGAGAGATTGTGGCCCCATAGCTGAGAGAGGAGCTAAGGGCTAGGGCTGAGAGGAGCTCCAGAGGGAGAGTTGCCATGGTTTGTGCTCTTATATGCTCTTCTGGTGGTGTGGAAACAAAAGGAAAAAGCAGGGCTACCAGGATCCTCCAGCATGCACTCCCCGTTCCTCCTTCCTTAGTGGACTCCCTGATCCTTCCTTTGACCAGTCCTGGGGAATAAGGATGTATGGAGCTGAGAGTGGGAGAAAAGGGAGGAGACCTGAGCTTTCTCTAGTCCACATTGGGGTTTTGACATGATTTGAGTAGAGGTTACTGAGAAGAAGATTTTCCAGGTGGATGCAATAGCATTTCCAAATAGGTAGCTCTGGAAAAGCCAGGGTGTCAAAGTGTGATCCTGGAAAATAGTTAGAAATGCAAATTCTTGGTCTCCTCTTGGACCTACTGAATCAGAATGGGGTTAGGGCCCAGCAAGCCATGTTTTAACAAACTCTTTAGGGGATTCTGATGCACTATTAAGTTTGAGAACCACTTTGCTTGAGGAGTGGTGCTGTGCAGGCATAACATCTTGCAAAAAAGAGTGATTACAAAATAAGTCTGAGAAAGCTGGTGGTGGCGTACTGTGGAGGGTCTTACAGAATTGTCAGAAGACTATCACCTATTAGTTTTTTAAGTTTGAAAGGCTTTTTGAACTTTTTAGGGTTTTAGATTAGGTCATCAGTAACTAATCTTAAGGATTAGCAGAAAACAAATCCAATCATAAAGAAACACCCTGGATAGCCTGGGTAGAGCATTAGTTATCTGTCTTAAAAAGATTATGTTAGCTCCTCATCAAGCCTCTACTGATATATGACAGAACGCATTAGCAAGGCCTGAATGAAATCCAGAACAACTTGGCAAAGCCATTTTTAGTGCCAAAAACCAGGCTTTTACTCCAAAGTGGGTAAAACCAGATGGAATTTAAATGTTAAATTCTGAAATGCTGCTTCTTTGATAGCAGGAAAAGTGGCTGTCTTTTTCAGTGTACTTGGAAGCCTGGCCTTGGTCTGGAGGTGCAGAGCTTCCCAGCTGTGGGTCACCAGGTCAGATTTAGTCCAGGTGGCGGAGGCTCTTGCTTGCTGGCTGTTCAGTGACCTTTACAAGGTTCACTGTAATCACCCTTTTACTGCTCACATAGTGGTGTTTGTTTTGTTAAAAAAGTGTCCTCAGAGATGGCATCAGCAATGGCTTCTCTGGAGACTCAGACCTGAACGTTATAAAAATGAAGAAATCATGTCATGGTTGAGATACGTATATGTTCAAGTCAGGGCTAGTCATTTCTAGGGTGGATGAGGACAAATATCCCAGGAAAGTACCTGAATATTATGTTATCACAAGTTCTGAATGGAATAAAAAAAAATTGCCAGACCTGAGGTTAGGAGATGGGCTTGACTGCTTGGTTGTAGGCTTTCTGAGCCCAAGTTTCTTTAATGAGGACGATAGTGATAGTAACAACAATAATATAGTTGCTCTTAATTGAATACTTCCTCTGTTTCTAATTCTGCTGTGGTGTCTGGGAGGATCCACCAAGAGAGAAACTGAGAGGACATACACAGAAGTCGGTTGGGCACATCATAGGCATGCAAGAAAACACTGGCTCCTGGTCTCCTTCCTCTGCACTGCTGGTGTGACTCGACCTGTTCTGGTTTTGGAATATGCTACCTCATAGGGTTATTGGGAGGATCGACTGTGGTGATGTCTGTGAAACTTTTGAAATGCTGTAAAGCAAGGTTGTCTAACCTGTGGCTTGCAGGCAGCATGTGGCCCAGGACAGCTTTGAATACAGCCCAACATGAATTCATAAGCATTCTTAAAACATTATGAGGTCTTTTTTTTTGCAATTTTTTTCTTCTTTTAGCTATCATTAGTGCTAGTGTATTTTATGTGTGGCCCAAGACAATTCCTCTTCCTCCAGTGTGGCCCAGGGAAACCAAAAAATTAGACACCCCTGTTGTAAAGTATTACACACATTTAAGGGAGGTAATTTTCTAGAAAGACATTTTAAACTAATGAAAATAATTCTTTCCTGATTTAGAATCTGTGCGAAAAGCAAAGACCATAAAAAATCTTTATTCTTCAAGTCATTTAAACATTATTTTAAGGGACATAAAAAATAGATTTATAATCCATCCTTTTTGTTTGTTGATGCCACTACAGTCATTTGAATATATATGATAAACTTGCAGATCTGAGAGGCAGTAGAGCAGTGAAGATTATGTGACTGCATTTAATGAAGGCATTTGTCATGTGATAAATAAATAATATGTCAATTTTTGTTACAACCCAAATACTCATAAATATCAACATTTCAAAATGATGATCCATTTGTAACTGATACTAGTTTCTTTCATTTGGAAAAATATCAGAAAAGTAAGTTGAAATAAGATACCCCCAAAGACAGGATATTTTAGTGAGCAGAAAACCAAGGAGAAATTGTCCACCTCCATGGATGTGACATATGATAGGCCAAAGACAGGCAGGAAATGCTGACAAGCAGTGAAGTAACAAATCTCTGCCATGCTCCTGGAGCCTCCCAGTTGAGACAAAATTTAATTGCTGAATACATTGAATGCTATTTCTGAATATTCTGGTTATAGAGTTTTTTTCACAAGTACTGCTCCATTGTCAGGGTTATGAACTGCCTTGCCTGCTGTGTTCAGATAGAGGTTGTTTCGCTTGAAGAGAAGCTGTGTGTATACTTCAGGAACATTTTCATCTTGCATAGGAGATAGGGGTCTGGAGGAGAGAGGAAAAAAACCCAGTAAAGCCTGCCAGCCTAGGGAAAATGAATAGGAGAAATATGGCCAGAACTTGTTTGAATCACAGATGATCTTTTTGAATTCACTAACATTGCTTTGTAGATTTTTGCCTATTGGTGTATTGTTGGGGTTATCATCATCTCAGAAGCACTTCACTTAGCTCATTGTACTTTATTGCAAGATAATGCCTTCATTGCAAGGCAACCCAAGCTCATTGCCTTGTTTTGCTTGTGTTTATGGTCAGTGTAGCATAGGGCAATATGTGTTTGTTATCAATTGATTGTCACTGAATTATTTTAGGAATGTTGATGATTTACTTTAATGACCGATATCCAAGAAAGTACAAAATAAACCCAGGGTTGCAGAGGGTTGGGGCAATAATGAAAATCAGGGAGGACAATATGTTTTCCTGCTGTGTTGGGGGATGGCTTTGCATAATCCGAACCTCTAAAGTCAGATATTTATTAGTCTCTGATTATTTTTATAGTTTCGTGAATTTAAATCCTCAAACGAAATAAATATAGTATAAATGAAAAGATAGTTTGATAATAGACACCCATACTAAATGCCTAAGTGATTTTTCTTCTATTGACAACCAATTCATTTTGTTATTTGACACTTGGGGATAGTCTGGCATTCATTCTATTTCTAATATTTTCCTGTAAATGTTGAAAAGACAGAGACAGAGGAGCAAGGTCTGTTTTTTCTATTCTTTCCTCTGGGATGATCCTTTATTTTAAAGATACAGCAGAACCAGGGCTTTTTTTCTTTTAAAAATTGATATATAATAGTTGCATATATTTTGGGGGTACATGTGATATTTTGATGCATATTTATACCTGTGTAATAACCAAATCAGGATCATTAGGATATCTATCATGTCAAGTGTTTATCTTTTCTTTCTGTTGGGTCCATTACAATTATTTTCTTCCAGCTATTTTTAAATATACAATAAATTATTGTCATCTGTAATGTCTCTACTGTACTATTAAATACTAGCACTCTATCTAGCTGTATTTTCATACCCCTTAACTAACTTCTTCCCCCTTCCCTTCCCAGCCTCTGTAACCACCATTCTACTCTTTACTTCTGTGAGATTCACTTTTTTAGCTCCCACGTATGAAGAGAACATGCGATATTTGTCTTTCTCTGCTGGCTTTTTCACTTAACACAATGATCTCTGAGAACTGTTATTCAGAATACTGGTGGGTTATTCATTTGAACAGGCTCTCAGTTTCCAATTTCGTAGACTCTCTCTTTCAACCAATAGGGGATCTCCCTTGATTGATTTATTCAGAAGAAAAGTTTTAGTTTCTACTGAAAGCGTGTATTTGTAAAGCTGCAAATTCCCAGTAACTCTTTATTCTAATATAGTTTCAAGCTACCCACTGGTGATATTTGATAAATAGCTTTATTAGCTTTGATCCAGCCATTTTTAATATTTCAAACAAATAATAAAAATGTATATATATCAGCTTAAATCATTGAAATATGCTTGGTTTGAGCTGTAAGCAGTCATTGCTATTCCAGCAGTATATAAAAGCATTGAATCAGTTTACTTGTTAAATAATTAATGACCAAAATAAGGATACAGTAAATCCTGTGTAATCTGAATTTCTTTTGGCCTCACCAGCCTGTGGGAAGAGTTCACACCAATGGCTACAGGACAGGTTTTCTCAGCTCTCACCCCAGCTACCTCATATAAAACCTTGGACCCGCCCCTGCCCCCAACACACAAAGTATCACTTGTCACTTCTAGGGATCACCAAATGAGGAGTCTTTTTGGTTTATTTGCTTTTTTTTTTTTAGAGGCAGGATCTCACTCTCTCACCCAAGCTGGAGTGCAGTGGTATAGTCATAGCACACTGCAACCTCTACGTCCTAGGGTCAAGTCATCCTTCCACCTCAGCATCCCAACCAGCTGGGACTATAGGTGCACACCACTACACCCAGCTAACTCTTGTATGTTGTATAGAAACAAGATCTTGCTGTGTTGCTCAGGCTGGTTTTGAACTCTTGGCCTCAAGTAGTCCTCCCACCTTAGCCTTTCAAAATGCTGGAATTACAGGCATGAAGCACTGTACCCCACCCCCAAGTGAGGAGTCTTAAATGTATACATGAAAAAGTATCCCATCACATTTCCCACAGCAGCATCTGCCATGGTCCCCTCTCCTGCTCCAATCCCTTCTATTGCTGCTGCTTTCTCTTCCCACCCTGCCACCCACTGCCCAATCCTGCTGTGTACCCTAGCACCCCCGTGTGGTGCTAGAGCAGCATTGCCTTCTCTGAGTGCCCACTGGGGTCGAGCTGTGCTTTGTTCACAGCTGGTGGGTTCACACAGAGGTGGGTGGGAGAATGCTTCTTTCTCTCTTATGTTATTCCTGGTCACCAGAGCATCTCTACTCACAGATATCCTTAGAAAAAGAAATCCTTTATTTTCTGCCTGCAGCATCCATTTTTCCTCATTGCTAAGTCCCCAAAGGTAAGCCAAGAATCAGAACAGACTTGCCCCCTGTTCCATACTTTGCTCTTGTAACCTTCTACTTTCATGAAACTGAGCTTATGAAAACAGATGCCATCACATCAGACCTGTGGGTGTGTCTCGTTCTTTCTGATAGCAGGTTAAGAATATATGTCTGCCTATGGGGACAGTAGGAGGAAGGGTTGAGGGCTGCCTTGCCTAGATGGTTTGCTTTTTCTGAGAACTGAAGGTTAAGTGGCAAGTTTGCCATATCATACCTGGAAAGTATTATTAAAACCTTCAGTGTAAAGTACCACAAAGAGAATGGAATATTTATTCCCTCTCTGACTCTGGCTCTTGCAGCCGATCAGTCGTGAATATCAACTTAGGTTTTCCTCATTTGGATCAACAGGAGATGTGGGAGATGGTTGAATGGTTATAGGCCTGAAGACATGTCCTGAAAGTTGTCCTTTTTTTTTTTTAAGATGGAATCTCACTCTGTCTTGCCCAGGCTGGAGTGCAGTGGGGTGACCTCATTTCACTGCAACCTCCTACCCGGCTAATTTTGTATTCTTGGTAGAAACAGGGTTTCATCATGTTGGCCAGGCTGGTCTCAAACTCCTGACCTCAGGTGATCCACCCACTTCGGCCTCCCAAATGCTGGGATTACAGGCGTGAGCCACTGCACCCGGCCTGAAAGTTGTACTTTTTAATCATTTTTAATGAAAATCTTAATTTTAGTTTGTTTTTCTCTGTACTGTTTCTTTCTCAAATGCTAAATACAGAAGCAAAAACATTCTGGCTGATTGAAAGGTTGTGATTATTCACATAAGGGCTTGAGCTCATCTGTAATTGGCTCCTGCACACATATGTGATGCTTGGCACTGGCTACGAGTCCTTTATCCCATTTGCTCCATCTTTGTTTAAATAAGCAGTATGTTTTTTTCCCTGGTTAAGAAAATAAGTCATTTAAACACACTTTATTCTAGCCATGAGGCCCACTGATATGCTCCAGGTGTGTCAGAAATGGTTACTCAGGTTTTCTTGTTCCCAGGTTCGTAATGATACTAAGATGCTTTTGATCACCAACCAAAAGTGTTTTGTGTGAAATGGGGGCCAGTGATCTTCAGTGAGTCGTTTTCCATCATATTTCCTCCTGGTCACCCGTGAGAATATAAGAAGAGGTTTACACTATGGAGCAATGATTTGCTCCTGCCATTCAGTGCCTGCTAGAAGCCAGAATTTCTGGGATTATAAGACAAATGATTGAAGCAGCTTCTTGCTGTGGTAGCACATTATCTTGAGGAGGTAGACACTGAAGTAATTGTGATACAAGGTAATAGTGCTTAATAGAGGCCCATGAGCATATAGTGGAGGGAGGGATTAGCTTTGTCTTGGAGTAAGAGCCAGGAAACCGTCCCAAAGAAGGTGACACTGAAGCTGGACTTTGTAGAATGAAAGGCATTTGTCAGGTAAAGAAAAGGGGAAAGCACAGGCCAGGTAAAGGTGACAGTGGGCGCAAAGGCATGGAGGTGAAGAGGGATCCTTTAAGAGATGAAGAAGTTCCTGGAGGCTGAATTGTAAAGACCATTAAGTTCTTTGCAAAGAGATTGTTCTTTCAGAAGAAATTAAGCAAAGGAGTGAACCTTGGTGGCTGGTGAGATGATCAGTTGAGATTTGGGAGAAGATGGTCCGCCCCTGGCCACAGGGAGTCCCTATTATGGTTTAGTTAGTCCCAGTAATGGTTCAAGACGTTGCAGAGACAAAATGCTGGTTATTTTTGTCTTTCTAGGTATCTGATCCCCTGCAATCACATGATGCTCAGTCAGAGGTGGGCTGTGAAGGAGAGAGACTGTTACTCTGTTTCTGCGGCCAAGCTGCTTGCCTTGACTCCTGTCTGCTGCTCCAGCGGGATCACTCTGACGCTTGGGAACCAAGAGAGGGATTATATTCTCTGGTCAAAGTGTTTGCATGACAGTTCAGGTAGGAACATGCTAGTGATGATTTTTAAACTAAAAGGATGCCAATTCCATCTCACTTTGAGATATGTGTCCCTTTGGGTGGACAGGGAATTCTGTAGTGGCTCCCATTTCTCTTATGAATGACTAGTTGGGATCCTTTTCTGCTTTGTAAGGAGTTATGGACACTTTGTAATCAGTATTCATTGAAGTGCCCAGACATTACCTATTGTTCCCAGATCTTTATTTTACATGGACTTTCTAGTGGGATCCTCAGAGTCAAATGTGAAAACATGTGCTAGCATGTCTTCAAAAACAAGATGGAGGTGAGAGGTGTGGAAATGGCTATTGCTAAGACAGAATCAGCCCTTATTTTAATTTCTAAAATGAGCTGCTTATAGGAATCTGTCATAAGGATTTACATATTATATATCCCTATAAAACTTGAAATTTGTGATATGACAGCAGAATCGGATGCATTTGATTGACCTAATGAGGAAGGCTTTCATAAATCCTTTACAGGGGTTATGATACTCAGGTAATACTCAGGCTATTTGCCAGCTACAATTCACCTCATACAAGCAAAATTGAAGTGGCCATCTCTATCAACGTTGGCCCTCTGGCAGGCAGCTGCAACAAGGGGGCATATGTGTATCTTTGATGGTCATATGGCTGTTTCAATTCAGGAACATTCTTCATGTCCTGTGACCACCAGGAAATGCCCAGTCCTGGTGTTGAGTCAAGTGTTTCTGGTCTATATTCTGATATCCACCCCAACAATGTCATTCTGTCCACCCAGCTACAATCCTCTTAGATAAAGTATATTTAAAAGCTGGGTTACTTGACTAAGAAAATGTCAGTACATTTGATATTAATATAATTTCTAGAAACTAAGATTGTCTTACTGTCTTGGTCTTTATATAAAGATACATGAAAATTAGCAGTTTATATAACTGTATCTTAATTGTATTTTCCTGTTAGTATGGATATCTTATATTTTTGTACCTTAAAGTTATTATTTAAAACATATTTAAAAATTGATGTCTTTTAAAATTTACTCTGAAAGTTTTTTCAAGAATGATTCTGTGGTTAACCTTGCTTCAGAATTCAAAATTAAAGTTAAACATATGATTGTCTATAACTTGCCAACTTTTTTTCCTGTGTGATCACTTTTAATGCTTTGAAGAAGATAGTATTCCCATTTTACAGATGAACAAACAACCTCAGAGAGAGGAATTGATTTGTCCATGGTTATACAACTACGTAGGTTCTCTGATTCCAGATTACATGTTCTTTCCACTCTCCTGCCTCTGGGGTTGCCTTGCAGCACACAAATGCCCTAATGGATGGGTAGTGCATAGCCAGCTAGCTAGCCAGAGTAATTATTGTATAGGGGTAAATAACTTGCCCAAGAAAGTAGCAGAGCGAAGACTCAGGTTCTGCATCTTGGCTCTGCTACTTTCTTGGGCAAATTACTTAAGTTTTCTAAACTTTTTTTCTTATCTGTAAAATAGTACCTACCTCAAAGGGTTATTCTCAGGAAAGCAAGTGAAGACATGTAAAGCTCTTAGAAGACTGCCTGGTATGTCGTAAGTGCTCAATAAATATTGCTAGCAGTAGTATTTGACATATTTTTACATAACGTAGATGAGAGATAAACACTAACATTTTTAGCAGTAGAGCTGTAAAATATGAATTATGTCCACTCTAAAGCCCTGGAAATGGGTATCCTTAAAGGCTCAATTCTGACCCAGTCTGGTAGAGATTTAGAGCATGAAGAGACAAGAGGCTTGCAATTGAAGTAAGAATGGAGGTTGGTGTGAAATCACCTGTGCTTGAATTGTGGCTCTTCCACAATTTGGGTTGGGTATTCTTTCATCTCTGAGCCTCAATTTCTTTATCTGAAAATGGAGAAAATATTATCTACCATATGGGATTATTGGGAGAATTTTAGATAGCATTGATAAAGCACCTGCAGCATACTAGATGTTTAAGAAATGATAGAAAATATATTTTTCCCTGAGTCTTTTTCTTTTGAGGGAAAACAGGCAGATGTTTTCACAGCTATTTCAGTAGTGAAGTTGGAAATTTTAACATCAAATGCCATCGTGGTAACATAAGCAGCATTCTTAGGTTAAAATGACTTTGTAGTGAACATGATTTTACTCTAAGAGACCATTTAATGATATCAACATCCCCAGTAGTCCCCAGGAAGGCAGAATAAATTAATAGGCTTTTCTAAAAACCAGGATTTTTCTACAAAAATTCTGGTTCTCACATTAATGGATTACCAGCCTTCCACTTTAGATTCAAAGTAAAAAATTCTAAGGTCATTACTCTGTGGCAGGTAGTATATCAGGTGTATTACCTAATTTAGTCCTCTCAACAACCTGAGAGATTGCTATCATTAGCTCTTCTTCCTCTAATGACTCATACCAGATCATAGTTTTCCATTGGCTATAGCCACTATCTGACTGGTTGAATTGGTTTTCCATCTTCTGTGAGGGTAGAGTTTCTGTTATTAGTCTTTGCTTCTTATGATCTAACCATTTTTTATTATTCAGAGGTCATTTATTCAGACATAATTAGACCCAAAGTAGCTAGCAAGACACAGTCTTAGCCTGAATGGGTCACCCCCGCATCCACTACCTTTGCCCTACACCTCCCTTGTTCTGACCATCCTCTGCCTCCTGTGCAGGGCCTGTGAAGCGGCTGTTCCCCGAAGCATTCTCCCAGTCAGCCTGCATCGTGGAGTATGGGAAAGCCCTGGATATCAGCTACCTGCAGTATCTATGGGAGGCCCACACCAACATCCTCCGCTGCATGAGGGACTGCCGTGTCTGGTCTGCCCTGTATGATGGTGACTCCCCCAGCCCTGAGACATTTCTTCAGAGTCTGATAGAGGAGGGCAGTGAGAACTCGGCCTGCCCTGTGTTTGGGCTTCCACAGCAACTCCCCAGGAAGACGGGACCTCAGCTGGCTCCCAGAAAGGACAAGGGCCAGACAGAGCTAGAATGGGATGACAGCTATGACACTGGAATCTCTTCAGGGGCTGACATGGGCTCCCTGGGGCCTTATGATGATCTGGAGGCTTCAGGCCCCCCGGCACCCATCGATCCCCCCAAACACATCCAGGAGATGAAGAAGAATGCCATCCTGCTCTTTAAAGGGTCCTACATCGAAGAGTCGGACTTTCAAGATGATGTGATAGTATACAGGCTGTGTGCTGAGAAGGACTCTGAGGATGCGAAGGATTCTCAAGAGAAAGCTGCTAGGCCACCAGCTGAAGCCCAGGCTGAAGTTCAAAGTGTCCCCATCAATAATGGCCCCCTTCTTAGCCCCCAGCCAGAGACGGATTCAGAGGAGGAGGGCAATAGGGACAATTCAGACCCATTTCACAGTGAGCCCAGGGAGCTAAAGCAAGAGAGGAAGCCTGAAGCAGCCCCAGAATCCAACTCAGAGTTAGCATCCCCTACCCCTGAGACAGAGCACAGCTCTAACCTGATGGCCACTAATCCTGAGAGTGAGGATCTCATTGCCCAGTATGACCAAATCATTAAAGAGCTGGATTCAGGTGCCGAGGGCTTGATGGAAGAGAATTTTCCCATACCTGATCCCTTGCTTCTCACAAAGGAGGAAGAAGGGAAAGAAGAAGACAGCAAAGAAGAAAAGGAGGAGGAGGGGAAGAAGGAGCTAGAAGAGGAGGAGGATGACTTTGACTCATTTATAGCAGAAATGCCTGCTGTAGAGACTGTGCCTTCCCCATTTGGGGGAAGAGATGAGACTGCCTTTGCCAGTCACCATCCTGTGAGGACTCAAAGCACCCCATTCACAGGTGACAATCTTAAATTGCTTTATGGTTTCTGCTTTTGAAAGTACTTGTACATATTGGAACAGGAAAGTAAGGTAGGCAAAGGTAAGGAATATTACCAGTTTATCTAACAGAGGGCTGAACATATTTTTGTAAAGAGCAAAGGGGGTGATTTTCTTTTTATTTTGTCATTCTTGCAATGATTATCTTATTTATTCCTTAAGTTAGGGGTTAGATTTTATTATTTAGTAACTTCTCTTGCTGTGCCAGTGTTAAAGTAGTAGGACTGATTAAACCGCACAAGAATCTAGACTTCTTATATAATGACTTCATTTATTCTAGTATCACCTATTTTTCTCCTTAGCATTTATTTACATTTACTTTTAACAAATGACTGTCTCCCCCACTAGAATGTATGCTCCGTGAGGGTGGAGTTCTATCCTTAGCACGGGAACAGTGAACAGAGCACAGAATAGGAGCTCAGAGTCCTTGCTGGGTGACAGTAGCTGTGCACACACATCAGAGGCATTGGGGTTAGCCGTGCCTTTCCCTGAGAGCTCATTTCAGAGAATCATAAAATCTTTATCCAAAAATAAGTAGAGTGGAACACATAAACTAATAGCTCTTTGAAAGAGTGGGTATGTTCAATGATACACTACTAGGAACAGGTAAAAAATCATGCAAGAGATGAAGGGATAGGACTGGATATACAGATAGGAAGATTGGGGTGAGGAATTATGACAGTAAACATCATTAAATATTAGCCAACAAAATCTGCATCTACAAATCCTGGTGCAAAGGGGAGTGCCATAGATGAGAGGGCTCAGGAAGCTCAGGGAAGGCCAGGGTGGGACCACTGGATGGTGTTCAGGTAGCAAGGAGAGGGGCTAGATGATGTAGCAATGGAGGGTGACGGTGGCCTCGGAGCCAGGCCGGGGTGAGTCCCTCTACCATTTAGCAGCATGTGGCTTTAGCATCCCGGGCCCTCCATTTGCCCTTGTGAGGACTGAATGAGATACTGGGAGGTCATTATTCATTTTATGACAGGTAACTCCCAGGAGAAGCCTGGTGAGGAGAGACTGTGCTCCTACCTCTTGCAGTAACCCCAGATAGATGAAAACAGATTGCCTTCCGGTCCCGCTAGCCAAGTAGGCTATGTGATTTCAAGGAGCTCTTTCAGCCTCCTCCTCCGATATTTATTCACCTATTTACTGATGCCTGAAGATTTATACATACAGGAAAAAGCTTTTAATTCCACAATTAAAGGCTTGTGGTTCTAGTCGAGATAACGTTTCAGTGTGAATGAGTTTTAATTAAAATTCAATCAGTCAGTCAATCATAAGTAAAATGGATTAGATAATCTCACTTTTCCCAGTTGATAAGGGGGACAGGGAGGAGGGAGCTGTGAGAGTTCACTCGGAAAGAGCAGCAGTAACCTACCCTGTCACAGCTTGCCTTCTCTTGGGACATCTGGGCTACCCATGGGTATGAAGATTATTCTTAAGAATTCCAGCTTTCTTACAGAGGAGCTTCATTCCTGGAAATGTGTAAATAGAGGAAAGAAAGTAGAGCTCAGGGCAAGAATAAAAAGCTAATCTAACACCTTATTAAATAACATCAATATTTTACATATAATACACCTGAGAACTGACAAAAGATAATGCAAGCTCTTTGATACATACAGGTAATTGTAGCTAAAACCTTCCCTGTTTCCTCCTTTGAACTTTGTACACAGCTTTAGGAAACATCTTCTCTCTTCCCACCTTTGTGTGCTTTGTCTTTTCCAAACTTCTGAGTGTGTTCTGTAGCATTAGGCTTAACTTCTTCTCTCCAGGGCATCTGATTTCCACTGAAATGAGTTCATTTCCCAGCAAAATCAAAGCATTCCATTTGTCTAATTTTATTTATTCATGTATTCAGCAATCTTTTATTGATCCCTGGATGTTTGGCAGGTTCTATGCTAGGAAATAAGGACACAAAATTAAAGGAATTCACAGACCTTCAAAAGAGAGCCCAACAAAGACATGTACTCTCTTAGTGAAAAATGTATTACTAGTTGTCATATACCAAGTCCAAGGGGAACCTAGTGAGGGGAGTGGGAATGGCCTCACAGAGGAGGGGCATGAACAGTGCAGGGAAGTCCCCAAGTGAAAGCAGGTGAGAATGATAGTCCAGGCGGAGGAGACAGCAGGAGCGAGACTGAAGAGCCCTCCAGCCTGTGGGGTGTGACCGCTTGGATTACATGTATGGGAGGTGAAGGAGGAAGGCAGAAAGCTTGCTTGGTGCCAACTTCTGAGGGGCCTTTGGGCCAAGCTGAGGAATGGAAACCTTGTGCCCTGGCTCTGAAGTTTAAAGTTGAGGGATGATGTGACTAAATCTGAAAAAGGCCAGCTTTGGTAGGAGTACAGGGAGAGCACTATAGTGGGGAGTTTGGTGCCAGGAAAAACAAGTGAGACACCCTTATTGCTGTATCAGAATTCAGAACGTGCCAATGCTCTTATCTAGTAATTTTGTTTCCGGAAACGTCCTGAGAGCTGTATTCACACTTATGTGCCAAGATGTATGTACAAGGGTATTCATTGCAGCATTGTTTGGAATAGAAAAAGGACAGAAATAACCCAAATGCCCACTAGTAGGAGACTGGCTTGCTTGTGCAACACCCTAGCAATCTAATATTTTGTGGTCCTGAGATGAGACAGCTCTGTGTTGATATGAGGTGTGGTCTTCAGGGTGTATTGTTAAAAATACTAGGACACACAAACACACACACACACACACGCCCCTCCCCCCTCCTTGGCAGGCAAGATAATGTGTTGGTTAAGAGCACTGGAACAGGTGGTGTGAATTAAAATTCTGATTCTATTATTCACAAGTTGGGTTCACTTAGCATTCTGCCTCCTCTTTAAGTGGGGATAAATAATAAATATACTTCCTAGGGTTGTTTTGAATATTGAGTGAGTTGAAACACGAAAAGTGCTTACACACTGCCTGGCAGATAGGATGTGCTTAATAAATGTTTTCGGTAATAATTCAATCTCTGTTAACATAGAGATACTGTTGCTGGAGTCCAGACTAAAAATGATGAGACTGATGTCAGGCAGTGGAGGCAGGTTTCAGGTCCACATCAGGAGATTTGTCCACAGTGGAATTCAGAGAGCAGAGGCACAGAATTGATGGCAGCTCCATTCTTGGACAGGGGAAGTGCAGGAAGAGGGTGCAAGCTCAATTGAGGCAGAGAGACAGGGGAGAGCAGTGAGCGGGTGACAGGGAGGGGCAGTGAGATAGGCTCAGTGACCTTGAAAAATGTAATAGTTTGTGACAGGGAGTTTGTCCTCCTGGGAGATGTGGGAAGAAAATAAAACCACCATCCCCCAGACACACCTGTGGCTTCCTGAGTTGTGCTAAGTCTTTTGATTTTCAGCTGCTTACTAGATCCGCTTACAAACTTTTTGTTAAGCAGCATTTTATTTAGTGCTAGAAACTAAGACTAAAGTAGGAATTTATAAGTTTTAATACTTTTTTTTAATTGCATATGCCCAAGGATTTAGGAGTCATTTCATTAGTGGACGCTAATTATGATGTCAAAGTGGACTCCATTTGTATAATTACAGTCTACTGGCCTTGACCTGATAATATTCTGTCACTCACATAGGTCAATGATGACACGATCTTCCTCTCCACAGGGCATGGGATTCAAGCTTGTGTGCCCCTCACCTCACCCTTTATAGTAGTGATGTCCTGTGGATGGTCACTGCATGGTCAGCAGTATTTACCGGATGGCTGGATGTGGCCAGGCACAGTCTGGGCTGGGAAAGAGAAGTTGAGGGATCATTTTAGGGTCACATATTTTACAGAAGACTCTGCCCACCTCAGTGTGTCTTAATTTACCTGCTTTTGCTCCATCTGGAAGGAAACACATGCTGAGCCAGGGACTGCAGGGGAGCAGGTGAGAGGGAGTTGAGGACAGCAGTCTTCTCCCTCTAGATCTGTGTTGTGATGCCTTAAGAAGATTTACCAGTGACATTTCTGGGGTTCTTTATGGGAAAACCATTAGTTGCTTTCAAACCGAGGTCCCTATCCAGAGTTTCCAAATGTGTTTGGCAAAGTCTCCCAGTTTTGTTTGTAAGCGTCTTCAAAGACTCTCCATCCAAAGAGTTCATTGACCTCCTATGTCATGGAAAGTGACTAAAGACCTCTGCCTCTCATCCAAAGGATGGGGAAGTTGAGGCTAAATGCCACACATGAGAGGCTGGTGCCTCTTGTATTGAGATCCCTTAGAGACATCCTCAGTGTTCCTGGAGACAGGAATATTGCAGTTCCTTTTTCTCCCCTGTGTGTTAAAGGTTTCAATTTGGCGTTCTCATTCCTCAGACATAGCTTCTGTTTCCTTGCAAAGGGTTTTACTCTTTCATGTTACCAGGGCTTCTGAATGAAGCATCTTATGATGAAGTATGTTTTTGTTAAACTCATAATTATGTTGGTGATATCTTCATAAGGCATGGCTTATCTATCAAGGGATATGTGCTTTCATTATAAAACATGCCGAGGTTTAGTAGCATCATCATCAATAGCTCCACCAGGGAAATGCAAAATTCTCATTGATTGTGTTGAACAGAACACTTTTGTGGTAAAAATTTAAAGTATCTTCAAGTAAGTTTATTAATGCCAGATTTATTTTTGTTTTTTTCCTGCCTTCAGTGAACTCAAACGTAAAGCATATTAATTTTCTAGTGACCCAAAGTAGCAGAAACATCTTTTTGCCTATTTTTTTAATGGACTGCTTTTGTATGACTAATTTTTAACTGCTTTTGTAGTCATATGGATTTTCTTCTTTAAGAAATCTATGACATGCCGAACTATATCTCCCCAAACTGACACCCTTTTCTCTCTCCTCTGAAAATTCAAGTGTGGTTACTGAATTGCCAAGGCTACTAAGCTTACACCCAGGAGCTCCTCCACCTCTCACCTGTCTATTTTTTTTTTATTGTTCCCCATTATGATACTTGACAAAATGAATTTTTTCTCAGTGTGCTTGTTCAAGATAGGCAACCCCTGTTCATAGTATCACTATCTGATAAACATAGTTTGTGCATTTTTGGTGTTCTTTACAGACACTTTTCATTGCCAAGACTTTTAATGGCCTCTAGTACTTACATGAAACTCTGTGTCCGTGGCATCATGAGATGATGACTGTCATGTTTTAAGCATTGGCAGCCCCAAGAAATATAGGAACAATGTAGAAAAGTATATTTTAATTTTAAAAAGTTAAATTATTTGTTTTTTTTTAACCAGGTCTGTGATAATTTTAGTAAGTATCAGAACTGTTCACAGAGTCAAAATGTCAGTAGCCATGCATATTTTCCTGTTTTCTTTTTGCCGTGGTGGTTTGTTTTCGGTTTTGGTCTTGAGGCAGGAGAAAACTTGGCCGTATTTGCCATGTCTGACTTGTACCTGTGGGCCTGTGGTGGTTTGGGAGCTGTGGCACCAATGGTTCTGCAATTGGTGGGGAAAGGCATCCCTGGGAGCCCAGCCAGCCCTGAAGCCCTGTGTTCTTCCTGCAGGTCCATTCATCAGCGTGGTCCTGTCAAAGCTGGAGAACATGCTGGAGAACTCTTTACATGTGAATTTGCTGCTTATTGGGATTATTACTCAGCTAGCTAGCTACCCCCAGCCACTCCTGCGCTCCTTTCTGCTCAACACCAACATGGTCTTCCAGCCAAGCGTCCGCTCTCTCTATCAGGTATGTTAGCTAAGCCCACATCCATAATTGTTGATTTTGTGGTTGCTGATTTGCAGGGCTTCTCTTTCTCTCTTATTTTGTTTTTCAAAAATTCCTCTGCTCCAATTCATTTGCTTTCCTTCCCTGTCCTATTAAGCTCACTGTGTAGTTTATTCTAGACAAACTGCAGAGCTTCATTTAGTTTGATGTTTTGAGGGTGCCCTATGCAGAACACCCAGGCAATTAAAAATGAGCAAATGTCTAACATCATAATAGTTCCCATAAAGAGGGTTATACCTGCAAGATATATTGATAACTGAGAATGGAATTTCACTGTGAGGCATTAACATCGGTAATGCTGTTTTTGACAGGTACTTGCATCTGTGAAAAACAAGATTGAACAGTTTGCTTCTGTGGAGAGAGACTTCCCAGGACTCCTCATACAAGCCCAGCAATACCTGCTCTTCCGTGTGGACATGTCTGATATGACCCCTGCAGCACTAACCAAAGGTAAGCCAGGTTTCTCCACAGTGACCCTCCTTAAATTCCTCTTCCACGTTCCTAGCCTACTGGCCTCACTTCACAGATGCAGCACTGGCTTCTGAACCCTAGAAGCATTCAGAGATATTTTCATTTTTATGCAACAGGGAAGAGCCACCTCTTAGCGTTCTTTTTTTTCTTTGACTGAGTCTCGCTCTGTCACCCCGGCTGGAGCATGGTGGCATGATCTCGGCTCACTGCAACCTCTGCTTCCCTGGTTCAAATGATTCTCCTGCCTCAGCCTTCTAAGTAGCTGGAACTACAGGCACCCACCACCACGCCCGGCTAACTTGTTATATTTTTAGTAGAAACGGGGTTTCACCTTGTTAGCTAGGATTGTCTCTATCTCCTGACCTTGTGATCCACACACCTTGGCCTCTCAAAGTGCTGGGATTAGAGGCCTAGCATTCTTAAACCTAAAGAAAGCTCTGCTCTGTTCATATTTGGCCCGTTTCCTCTATGGAGGGTCTTGAGGGGCTTCTGTTTTCTTAACTGAGAGTGGTGCCTGGAAGGAGCTGATGTGTAGGGTGTTGTCAGGCTAGAATAAATAACATAGCACACATGGGCCAGAAGGAGGCATTATTGCACTCCCCGGGCCATTTTTTGGGTAGCCCTTTCCTGAGAAGGGCATGTGTTCTCTTTTTTATGTTTTCAGAGGCTCTTGGGCCAACAGTAAGTGTGCTTCAGAGCCCTAGGAGGTAAAACAAAAAACAAAACAGAAAAACTGTTTGGATTGGGTGAAGTAAAGTTTATGCTCAGCCTAAAATCCCTGAGAGTGCCTTTTTTTTGAGCTCTAGAGGTGGTGTTAGGCCAGGGCCCAGGCAGAGTGAGGAGTGGGAGTGAGGGGATGAGTTGGTGCTAGTAGGAGCACTGAGAATGGAGTGCCACTGCTGCTTTACCTTATTTAAGCTCTGGTCAGACTGATTTGCTGACCATTTACCTCTGAGCTGTGACTTAGACCTTGGTAGGAGCAGTCTAGGAATGCCCCATATTGCACTGGCTTTGACTTTTCCACACACAGACCAGTCAGGCTTCTTTGTGGCAGACGAACAATGGAGAGAGTGAGGCTCTCAGTCCTCGGCTAAAAGCAAGTGATCAGAAACAAGATTGGCAGTGAGAGGCAGAAATGAAACTCAGGGCAATTGTTCCACCTTTCAAAGAAGCTGAAAAGAACCCAGAACTCTGAAGGCCTGATGCTGCCCCTGTGCTGCTATTTGATCCTGGTTGCTTTACCTCACAGTCCCCATGTCCCTTGACTTTTAAATGAAGGATTTGTACTCTATCTCTTACGTGCTTTCTAGCTGAAGCCAGAACTTGGGTTGTGATGAGCCCTTAGAGTACTGCAAAGTAGGGTTTGAAAGAAAAGTAGGCCATGTGCCACTGGTAAATTGGGGAGTCAGGCTTCAAGCTGTTGGACTTTGAGAAGAGCAGGCAAAGGCATTCGTGGAGGGAAAGAGGCCTAGCATCTCTGTGGGAAGGGGGACCTCAGGTGCCATGTGACCTCCGTAGACACATGGGTGGTCAGGGTGTGAGCTATGTTCCTCCTGAACAGGGCGCATGCTGCTGCCACCCACCCTGTGAGAGAAGATGCACCAGTTAGCAGTATAGTAAACCATTGTAAAAACTCACTGGCTTAACCCAAGCCCATTTATGGTTGCTTATGAATCTGTGTGGTTATCTGGGTGTTTTGCTGATCTGGGCTAGGCTGATTTTGCCTGGACTCTCCTTGTGTGTCTGCCATCAATGGGTGGCTGGATGTCTAGGGTAGCCTCACTCACATCTGTGGCTGTTGGCTGGAGTGATGCAGGTGATGGGAGTGTTTCTCACCATCCAGCAGATTAGCCCAGGCTCGTCCATGTCACAGTTAATAGGGTTCCAAGAGTGAGATCAGAAGCATAGAAAATCTTTTGAGGCTCAGACTCAGAGCTCACGTAAGGTCAATTCTGCAGCATTCTGTTGGTCAAAGCAAGACACAGGGCAAGCGCAGATTCAAGAATCTGCACAAGAATCTGCATTCTGTTGGTCAAAGCAAAATACGGGGTGAGTGCAGATCAAAAGGTAGGAGCAAAACCCCCTACCTCTTGATGGGAAGAGCTGCAACAAGTTGTGGGCATTCTGCAATCTTCTAGACAGGCCTAGTCTTCACTGTATTTTACAATTTTAAGGTGCTTTCTCAGGTGGTCAATTTTCATTATCAAACAGCACTCTGAAAAGGGCAGAAAAAGGTACTATTAGCTGCTTAATTTTCATTAACAAAGCCAAAGTTAGAGGCCCAGGGTATTCAGCCCGGATCATGAAACTCAAGTGCCTGAGCCCATCCTAGCTAATTCCAGGAGATGCATGCACACACTGACCAACCTAGATGAGAGGGTACACTGAGCCTTAACCAGCACATTCAGGGGGAGCGGGGGTCACTCACACCTTGGGCTTGTCCTGGTTTCAGAATGTCTGGCGGTCATGATTGCAAAATATGTGCCCAGGGGAACTTGTTCTCACTGCCTAAGGTTGTCAGATTAGTTACCTGGGTTCCATGCTCTTTTAGTAAGGTCTGTGACACTCCAGGGCTTTGACCTATAAGAATCTTCTCTCTGGTTATAATACTTTTCTTTTATTTGAATTTTTCAGATTAACTTTCTAACTTTTCCAGGTTAGCCAAGTTACCCACTTACCCCATGTAAAGCATCTTTAACTGACAGAATGAAAGTTTCTTGTCCCCTTGTACAGAACTGACTTCTGAAGCATTTACTGTGATGTGATTTCCTGTAAATGAGTCAAATCTTGGAGGTCTGTTCTCACTGGGATACAGAGCAATTTACAATGAAGAATTATGGCAATGGGCCAAATATTTGGGTTTCCAAGTGTCTATCTGCTCTGCCCTTTGCCTAATGCTGCTGCCAGGGAGATGAACACATGACATATCTCTCTCCCCGCTTCAGAAATCTTCCCAGTATTAGTCTTGAAAACCTTCTGTTGCAGCTTTTCAGACCCAGGGCAGCATTTCAGAAACCATTCCTAATTCTGACACTGATTTATACTTCTCTCCGCCCTGCCTTTTTCTTCAGGTGCTCGTGCATGCTTGTTGGACCCTTTTATGAGGGGTGTAACTCAGGCGCCTGCAGCCAGAGCTGCTTCATCATGCAGGCCCTGCATTCCCTTCGCCTCCTGGCAGCCCCAGTGAAAAACGAGCCTCCTCACTAATGCTTCCAACAGCAGTAAAAGTCTGTGTGGCCGCTGCTCCAGAGCAAGCGGACATCCTGTTGCCAGCTCCACATTATTATTCTTGAAGCTGTTGGTCTCTGAGGTTCAGCCACTTGCCAGGCCTTTCTTTTTCTACTCAAATACTTTCCAAACCACAGAGTAACAGTTCCTTGTATTTACTTATATTCAGAGCCCTTTTACTGGGCATTAATTCTAGAAGGGAAATCAGGTAGTTAATATCCCCAGTTTACAGAGATGGAAACTGAGACATTCTATAATGAGTTGGTGGCCAGGTAGGGACCGTAACTCAGGTCGAGTTGCTTTTTTTTTTTTTTTTGCCAATCAGTTTGAGCTTATGAGGTGAGCCTTGAACTGATGACCTCACCTTCGCGAGCGCCATGACCTCCGGTGGGAGCCACTTTGGACCCCGGTCGAGTTCCCCGAATGGAGAATTTGATGGTGCTTGATGACACACTGAAAGGCCCAGACCCCGGAGGGGAGCCTGGGTCGATGTGCTGCAGCCCTGATGGAATGAACCATGCTATGGATCTTCTCCCGGCCAGACCTTGAGCTCCCTCACTGGGTGCTCTCCTGCCTTCATTAGTGAAGACAATTCTGATTCTTGAATTCATATTGAGTAAATGAGCCTTAGCGATGACACTTTTTATTCACAGTTCAAGCTAGAAAAATGAGCCACAAAAATCCCTTTTTAGGGAAGAAGAGAATGAATGAATTTGAAGGAGAATGGGGGAGATGAGGAATATGAGCAGCTACAGGGAGCATCAGGAATAGGGAAGACTTATGAGATCAGTTCCTTAACTCATTCATTCAGCAAATGTTTATTAGCTTCTATGAATATGAAAGTGTGTTTGGGGTTGCTAAAGACATGTTATCAGATAGGGCTCAGCCCTGAGAAAGCTCGGAGTCTAGTAGAGGGGATAAAACATAAACAATGCAAGGCTGAAGGGCAATGCAGCCTTAGTTGGTCAATATCATGGAGAGGCGGCTAGAATGAGATGAGACTGTTTGGGTAGAGGGCAGAGGAAGCCATAAAGACTACAGGAATGACTTCTGGGGGCTGGAAACCGGAAACTCATTGTGAAGTCGGTGACAACTATACTGATAAGGATGATGCGGTAGCTGACACCCATCCAGAAGTCCCTGTGTACTTTATACCTATTGACTCATTTAATCCTTATAACAACTTTAGGAGGTTTTGACAGGTGAAGAAATCCAAGTACAGAGAGGTAAAGCAACTTGCCTGAAGTCACTCAGCCAGCGAGTGGCAGACTCTGTGGTCTTAACCACTGTGCTAATAATGTCTCTAAGGCTAGTATGATTTAGGTGAGCAGAGAAACGGGGAAGGGAGTACCAAGTGGAGGAACCAGCATGAACAGTGCAGGTCTTGGTCTGGGAGTGGTGTCCACAAGTGCCCCATTCCCCATTGGAATGTAGGCCAGCTTCCTTTGTGAGCTTTGCTGGGTGCTTTGGAGAGTGACAGGGCCTGAGCTAGGGTGGGGAATGAGAAGGGGTGCTCTCCAAGGTTGACATGCACCTCAGTGACATCAACACTTTTGTGCTTCCTCTGTTGCCGGTTCATGAATTTTTGCTGAAAGGTAGCAGAAGACAGATTCCCAGCAACTTTTCCAGTTATGGCATTAAAGCTGTGACAAGTTTAAATGTAAAAGGATATTTAAAGCAGTAAAGTGGAAGTTGTTTTTTTTTTTTTTAACACTAAAGACTATAGTAGTGAGATGTGGAAAGTACTATAAATGTCAAGAATTTTAGTACTGCAGTTAAGCAACACTCTGAGAAGAGTGTTGAAATATGGTACTGAATTCTAAGAAGCAGCCAAAATAATGAAGGACTTGAATATAATGATTTATAAGGAGTAATGAGATTGTTTGGATAGGGGGCAGAGGAAGGCATAAATTATTCCTACAAATATATGAGGGCTGGCGATGTTCAGGAATCAAATAGGGAAGCTGAACCATTTTAATTAGTAAAAACTGATTTGATACGTAAATGCAAATCACTTGATTTGTTTTGCATTTTGAACTCCTCTGAGGCCTATATTATTGAAATTGAGATGGAAACTCTTGGAAACCCTCTTTCAATGTAAGCTTCTAAGACATTTGCTGTTACTAATTCCCCATGGTTGCAGGAAGTTGTCTGGTCTTACCAGCACCCAACTTCCCTTCCATTATTTCTGCTGATCTGAAGGAATCTTCTGCTCTTCTTTTATGTAAAATGTTGGGAGGTGCTGGCCAGAAGAAGACTGGAGGTCACTGGGGAGCCTGAGAGGCTGGAGCACCAGCTGCAGAGAGCTTTAGCCCAGCCTCTATGCTGTAGCTATGCTGTGCTGTCAGGGCTTAACTGGCGAAGGGAGAACAGTCATCTCAGCATGGGAGGCTGGGAGAGCGGGTAGGACTACTCATTGCCCCTTAATAAGCCAGAGACAGGAGATGCCTTTGTCAGTTTCTCCCATTACCACATTCTGGCATGGAGGGTTCTTGACAAACCTATATTCTTGCCATGATTTCTGCATGAAGTTCCTTAGAAAGAATTCTGGGTAAAAGTCTCATATCACATGCTTTTGTTGGAGGTTATCTGCTGGGCAAATATGTGTGTCATGGAGTCCACTAGGGCTGCATCTTCAGGATTTAGTCTGTTATAGAAACTGCACCCATAACTAGATACCCTGCAGCAACTCTGCCCCCACAACACATGCTCCACTAAAGAGGGTGGATGGGAAGGCGATGGAGGAACGTCATGATTGTCTTCTCTCTGGTTTCAGATCCCATTCAGGAGGCTCCCAGGACAGGAAGTGGCAAGAACCTTTTGGATGGACCTCCAAGAGTGCTTCAGCCCTTCCTGACCCACAGAACCAAGGTGGCTGAGGCACCCCCCAACCTGCCCCTGCCGGTGAGGAACCCCATGCTGGCTGCTGCCCTCTTCCCAGAGTTCCTGAAGGAGCTGGCGGCCTTGGCCCAGGAACACTCCATTCTGTGCTACAAGATCCTGGGTGACTTTGACGACTCCTGTTGTTAGCTTTTTTTTTTTTTTTTTTAATAGAGGTTCTTGTTTTGAAAGGTTTTAGTGTCTTGACTGAATGTTAAATGCAAAGCTGCTTACAAAGATTTCTACTTTGATATTTCCTGACAATACTTGATTTGTGGGGAGGGGAATTTTCTATCTCTTTCCTCTCTCTCTCTCTAGCCGGACTTTTCCACCTTATGTTATATAGAATGTAAGTCTCATAAGCTGGTTGTTCCCTTGGCAGTTTTCTTTGCTCAGTTTTTCCTTCTTATATTTTTTGGTTGTCATTCTCCTATCCCTTTGAGTCACCCATCTTGGAGCTCAGATCACACCAAGCAAATATTGGGGTTCAGTGATATTTGGAAGTGCCCCATGTCAGGATTCTAGCCGTTCAGCAGCACAGGAAGAATGTACACCTCTGCAACTGTGCGAGTGGTCCTGTTACCTCCTGCACTTTGGCCTCTGTTCTATAAAGGAAGAATGAAGATGGAGCCCCTCTTGCTTCCATTACAGAAGCACATATCACCTGTCCCTTTGGATTTACTTCCAGGTTGTGTGTCCCCCAGCGTGTATTGCATTATGGTGAGGGCAGATATACTGGTCCAGCTCTCTGCCTGGGAAGTCAGAAGTCCTTGGAGAGAATTTAGAATGCAGAGAATTGTTCTTGTTTCTTCAGAGCTTACTTTAATCAGCATGACACTACCTAAACACTGAAGACAGCCTTATTTTAGTAAGATTTGCACAAAATTAAGTATACCTATGCAAACTGTTACTTTGGTTTTTAGGAGTTTGATCAGATGAAAGAAGTATGGTATCACATATGTATGTAAGAAGACGACCATCATTTTTATAAGTGTTTTATAAAAACAATCTGATTAACTTGTGAAGCCATTTCATAGCGGGATTTTTTCAGGGAGGGAATGTGGGGTGGGGTGGGGAGATGATAAACTAAATGCAGCCTGTAAAAACACTGGTAATTATTTAAAATTCGATTTGCTTTTGCTAATAAGCTGCACTTTGTAGAGAAACAGGAACTGTACAGCCCACTTCAGGATCTTGGATGTCAATGCAAACAGGTCACCTGGAGCCCTGCAAAGCCAAGTGCCTGCTGGTGACTCACTCGGCATGGAAATGCTGCCTTCTGAGTAATGGGGTTTATTAGAAGGCCCCGCCATACCGTATGAGTGCCCCTCTGCTGCTTTGCAGCCTGCTCCAAGAGGCAGAATTATAGTTACAGCCACATCCATGTGAAACCACCACCAAGAAGGGAAAACACAGAATAATTGTGAGCTGAAAATGAGACCATAACAACCGATTTTTATGGATATCAAATTCCACTCCCCTCTATTTTGGGCCCAGTTCTGCAGGTGAGAAGCAAGTAACGAGCTTGAGCCTCCCGTTTGGAGGAAAATTGGGAGGCCCATCCTTCTCCGTTTTGGGCATCTCTGTGGAGCCCCGAGGGCAGCCATGGGTCTGGTGCTTGTGCCGCAGGAGCACTGGTTTGGTCTTAATCAGGCCCCTCATGCACAGGCAGGGCAGTGGAGGAAGGAACCACACCTGCAATGCTGTGGAGCAGCAGAGGCCCTTTTCACTTCAGGAATCTTGAAGTAGCTTTGTATTGAGTGAATTAGAAATTGAGAGCTGCCTGTGAAATGACTACAGGATACCTGGCCTGGGCAGGTGAGCTGTTAGGAGCCAGCCTTGCTTTCATGTTTCATAGTCCAAGCAAGACATTGAAGATTCCTACTCACTATACATTTCTGTTTGTCTTGACAAATGGTTTGCTCAGCTGTGATGCAGCAGCCAGGAGAAATGAGGCACAACCGACTGGCCTGCACCTGGATTCCTGATGCCTGGTGGTATTTGCACAGCCCACAAGTCTCCATTAGAAAAGGTAGCTTAAGATGAAGAGGAACAGTTGAAGTTGGAAGTTCAGCTATAATTTATTATCCTCTTTGTTTTGCACAAGTATTTTTCTTCTTGTTTGGACTTACAAAGTCATAAAATGCTAATGCCACATCTGGAAGTGGAATTCTTTAGCTTTGTGGTTTGATTTACACCTGTCTCCATTATCTGGTAGTGGTGTTGAATCTTCTTGAATCTGTGTTTCTGCATTGTAGAACACCATGGTCCCCTTTGTGGAAGGTTTCCTTTGGGAGAGATTGATTTTGTGCCTCTTACTGTTTTTTTCAATAGGTACTGAAACAGACTTACTTATTCTTTTGTTTTTTTGAGACAGGGTCTTGTGCTATCTGGGCTAGAGTGGAGTGGTGTGATCACAGCTCATTGTAGCCTCAACCTCCTGGGCTCAAGTGATCCTCCCTCCTTAGCCTCCGGAGTAGCTGGGACTGTAGGAACGTGCCAGCACACCCAGCTAACATTTTGGTACAGTTTGTAGAAATGGGATTTCATCACATTGCGCAGGCTGGTCTTAAAGTCCTGGGCTCAAGAAATTGTCCCGCCTCAGTCTCCCGAAGTGCTGGAATTACAGGTGTGAGTCACTGCGCCCAGCCTTTAAATGAGGACAGAGATGACTGGTGTCTGTGGTGACAGACAGGAGAATTTAACTTCCCATACTGGGTTGCTGGTGGCAAACTCATACAATAACTCTTAATTTCCTATTTGGAATTGAAAGCTGGTTCATGTTTCTGAATCCATCACAGTCCTCACAGGTTTGTGTCCATGGGTTTGCAAAATGAAGTCAAAAAATTGACCTGGACATAGAATGGGAAAAACCCATGTGGTTGAGTGAAATAACCGAGAGTGGGTTATTTAGGGAAGGATGTGGACGTGCCAAAAGAAAAACAGCAGAGAACCGAGGCTGTCCATATGAGAAGAGCAAATCCTGAAAGATTGGGAGAGTGAACATTGATCTAGGCAGATGTGAAGAAACCATGGAGTGGGTGCGTGAGAAAGGGAACTCCTTGTCAGGAAAAACATCATTGGCAATGAAGTAGAATGTTCCGGTCCTGAAGTAAATAGGTGAGCCCTTAGAAATACCATTTTTTATAATGAGTTGCAGGGAGGAACTTAAATATATTTGGCATGCTTACAAATATGGTCTGAGAGTGTGGCCACTTGTGTGTGTGACAAGCTCCCACATCAGTCACTATGCTACTTGCTGGAAGAATGTAGGGGAAGAGAAATGGTGGGCACCACCCTGTGGTGCAGCCCCTGGGCTGGCATCCCTGCGTCTGGCCTGGGCAGGAAAGATGAGTGAGCCCAGAGTTCCTGGACTATCACAACATTAACCTCAATTCATAATTCAGGGCCTGACTTAAAGAAGTTCCAGACTGAGTGACTTCTGTGGTTCAAAACGTATGAAAGCACTGGGATATTTAAAATTGATTTTTTCAAAATGGCCAAGTAAATGTTTTTAAAATTTTACCCAAAGAAATTCCAGGTTAGGTTCAGCTTAAAACATAATTTCATGGCTGGTAAAATACAGTTTTCCAACCATGAAATGGGAGTGCTGGAATAACTAGTTAGAGATGTGGTTTTCCTTTACCATTAGATACCTCCTATCCCTGGTATTTAGAGGAATTGTGAAGTTGTCCCCATTTTGTTGAGTGTTATTTTGGAAAATCCTTTGATGTGCTGGGATTGCAGTGGATGTCTGTCACTTTAGGTAGGATGTGTTCAGTATTTTTAAAAAGTACCCTTTTCTTAGCAGGTGGCTTTTATTTAGGTCAGATGTAGTTGGTTTCTGTCCAGTATAAGACATCATGGAACCAAGGTGCTGTCAGGAAGGCATCCTCTAATGAACAGAATCTAGAAACAGGCTACATGAATATTGGGGTTGCCTGTTTGATTTGGGCAGCCAGTGGGTACTCAGGGTTGAAAGTTGTTTTCAGTGTCTGAGTCATCTTGGCTGTAGTGTTCATGTGGACTGGTTGTCAGATCTGTGTAAGGTTTAGGGTTGCAGATGGGCTGCTCTTCTGCATCTGGATCAGCGTGTCTAGGCTGTCTTCAGTAGGGAAGTACAGCTGCAGCAGGGGTGGGCCTTGTCCCTGGCATGGTGTTCAATATCTGCATATGCTCCAGTTCTCATTTAAGGGCAATTCAACGTAATTGCTAATTACCAGCCCTGTATTTACTGAAATGGCTGTCATGGTTGCCGTTTCTATGAAACACTTTATTGCAGGTCAGCTATCATTGCACGTGCTTCTAGGCACTGGCTCAGGGTGGTGTCATGTGTGGTTTGCTGCAAACCGCAGCCTGCTTTGCAGTGTGAGCTCTTCCTGGAAACAGCAGTCTCTTGTAGCTGATGTCACATCAGCTTTAAGTCATTAAGAAGATAGTCTAGGCCCCTTGTTGCTTCAGCCATCAGTCTATAAATCACATAATACTAATTCTCCATCAAGTAACAGCTTAAAACAGAACACTATCAAACCAGTTTATGTTCCAGCCTTAAATCACTTCACTGAGGAAGCACTGGAAGAGAATGAAGTTGGCTTGTTTTCCTTCCTTCTTTTTGAATGACCATCGTAAACCTAATGCTTTAGAAAGAGCTCTCAGAAGACTGAGAATGGTTTTTAGGATAATTTTGCCTCAGTAAATCCTCTCTACATTCAGGCATTTCTTAGGCCATTACTTGTTTCTGGAGGACAGATTATCCAGGCAGCTCATTCACTGGAAAAACAGGGCTTTGGTGAGAAAAAGATTTTCAGAGGTTCTTTAGGGAAAAGGACCAGGACAAGGTGGGTGGAGGCCTTCAGTTCTTTGACCTCTTGCACCTAGAATCCTAAAACTGATCGTGATTTTAGCTAGGACTGACCTTTCCTAGCTTGTAGGTCACAATTTTGTTCCCATCTTAAAAGGTTTAAGTTAACCCACTGTTACCTATACAGGTAACAAGACTGCTAGTAGGATCTGTCAGCATGACTTTGATACGCGTTTCAGGCATCTTTTTGGGAGTTTAAATTTACTGTATCATTTCAGAACCCAACAAAGGTGATGGAAGCTCTTGGGCCAGATTGAATTTCATGGAGCGGAGGCTGTAGAAGTCTGTGCTTCTTAGTGTGTCAGCTGACTTTATTGGGACAAGGCTATGAAAGGCCCACCTATAACAAGGCCCCTTTTTGCCCTGTGGATATTTTAAAAGAGGGAATTTGGTGTTGACAGTCTTACATGAGTCTTGCTAAGCTATCTGACTAAGCGTTTCAATCAGATGCTTCCCATCTCACGACCAAGGGTCAGCTCTATTTATAAACAATCCATGAATGTGTTTGTCTAAAACCTGCTGGAGAAGCATGGCAGCCACTTCCATGCTGCTTTTGGTAATTGGTAAAGAATACAGCCTTTCAGATAGATTGGCTGGCTTTTCTCCAATAGTCACTATGTGGAAACTATACAACTAAATTCAATTGAAATGAAAGATACAGTATAAAATAGTGGGTCATGGCCACAAGCTGTGTCCTGAACTAACCAACTCAAAGCTGAAGGAGGGTGTGTACTTTCCAAAACTTCATGGCCATCTTAATAATTATTTTAGCAATAATTACTAAAATATGGGGGGGGGGGAGCTCAGCTAAAATATCCTTACCTTGGTACAGTAATGTTCTAGGTTCTTAAAAGCTAGGAACAGAAGTTCACGTTGATGTATAACCCTGGACAGAGATCAAACAGCTCTTTTCTAGACCCAGATGACCTAGAATGTAGAAACCTAGGAGTTGGTATCACCAGTGTCTCTTACAAAAGGGCCCCACAAAAGGTTGTCCATTAATTTGTTTCATACAGTAAGAGCTTTTACTGAATACTCCCTCTGTTAGATAGCATGCTGAGTGCTAGGGCTGGCATATTCCCGCCTTGCCACCAGAAACCGCCAACCTCCTTCCCAGGCAACAGAACTCAGGGTTTGGGCCTGACCAGGCAGAGCTGGTTCAAGCCAGCCTGGGGCAGAGCCAGTTTTCCAGCACACTCCAACTTCCAGTCAGAGCCTCAGCATCATACACCTAGCCTACAGGTGTGTGAATTCCTGAGACAGATGGCAATGGCATCACCTGTGGTGCCAACTCATACATTTTAATGAGATTTCCCCCTGAAGAGTAAACCAGTAGACCAGACTAAATGCACACTCATGTAAGAGTGTAAAATTGTATTTCACTAAGACCCCTTTACAAGCAGAGCCATCTTTGTGAATTTCTTAAGGTGATAATATAAACATATCTTTAGAATATCTCATCGGGTTTCAATCAGAGCCATGCTTTGGTTTTTTCCTAGTAGCAGTGATATCAACTTACAAGGTTTGGTTTTCAGGATTTTGGAAGCTGGCATTGAAGACAACAGGCAATTGTCAGCTGATTGACAATCAGCCTGGACAGATCAAGTGCTTTCACGATGGCATCTTTCTCTGGGAATAATCAGTCCTGAATACAGTTTTCACTTGACATAATGGTTTTGGTAAACTGTCTTTATCTGGCTGCACCCCCTCCGGAAAGATCCTTCAATGCTTTCTGTAAGGTTTAGTCATCAAGAAGCCAGAACTTTTGGTGAAAATGGAATTTATAAAATGAAACCGAACCTTCTTCTTTCTTACACAATGAAGATCCTGTCAGACTCCAGTCTCAGACCATCTTTGCCCATTTGTAATTCAGAGATTTGCAGAGTAAAGAGAGAACTGATTCAGCCTGACACTCCCGTACAGAGGTTTAGTGAAAATAATGTTACTATAGACCCAGTAGTTTTCAGTACTGCAGCAGAATGGGGACACCTGTCTTCCCAGGTAAGGTAACATAGTCCCTTAAAATTCGAAGTCACTAATTTTATTAAAACACATTAAAAAAAAAAAAAGTCACCTCCTCATGCCTGTCCAAAATGAAGCACACAACTGGTTACCTTTCTCTGCCTACTTTTTGTGCTGGGGAATAGGGGCACCATTCTCATCACTCTCAGGGAAGTCCTGAGCAACTGTGCAAGGCAGGAAGCATGAGTCACTGAACTGGTGATGGAGGGGGTGTCCACTTTTTCCTAGTTCCTCAGCTGCTTCTGGAGCAGCGTTCATAACAGGAATGTGTTTACTGTCCTTGGTAGGCTACAGATTCACAGCTTCAAATCAAGGCCTCCAAGGATTTTATTCTCTTACATCACGGTTTTGACAAGTATGCTTTTAAAAAACAACATTTGCAAAGCTGGCCTTCAAGTGAGGTGAGTCAGAGGTTAACAAAGGCATATACTGAACAAAGAGGTGCTCTGGTGCAAGGGAGAACAGTATTAGTGTCATAGCACAGGAGTGCAGGCAGCCCCGCCCTCATCGAGACGCCTGCAGCACACCACAATTATTGTGAAAGGTCAAGATTTTGATTTAATAATTTGTCATCTTATTTCCAAGCAAAACAAGTCAATTTCATGTTACAACTTTTTTCTTTTTTGTTTCTTTTCATCCTGTTTGGCTTGAGGGTTGCGGGGAGTTGAGGGGAGTTGTCAACTGCACAATCCTTGAAGTGTAAGTTAATTTTTATGGGATATTTCAGCATATATTTTACTGATTAAATTTATTTGAAAACTTACTATGTATTTTTAATTCATTTATTCTCAGAACAGTGCCTTCTGGGATGGGTAGGGAGTTGAACAGGCAGTAGCACTTCTATGATAGGTTTATTAATTGTAATAATATCCTCCTTCCGAGGAAGTCAAATTGTCTCTATTTGCAGATGACATGATTGTATATTTAGAAGACCCCATCGTCTCAGCCCAAAATCTCCTGAAACTGATAAGCAACTTCAGCAAAGTCTCAGGATACAAAATCAATGTGCAAAAATCACAAGCATTCCTATACACCAATAACAGACTTAGAGCCAACTCAAGAATGAACTGCCATTCACAATTGCTACAAAGAGAATAAAATACCTAGAATACAACTAACAAAGAACATAAAGAACCTCTTCAAGGAGAACTACAAACCACTGCTCAACAAAATAAGAGAAGACACAAACAGATGGAGAAACATTCCATGCTCATGATTAGGAAGAATCAATATGAAAATGGCCATACTGCCCAAAGTAATTTACAGATTCAATGCTATCCCCATCAAGCTACCAATGACCTTCTTCACAGAACTGGAAAAAACCACCTTAGACTTCATATGGAACCAAAAGAGAGCCCACATAGCGAAGTTGATTCTAAGCAAAAAGAACAAAGCTGCAGGCATCACACTTCCTGACTTCAAACTATATTACAAGGCTACAGTAATCAAAACAGCATGGTATTGGTACCAAAACAGAGATATAGACCAATGGAACAGAATAGAGGCCTCAGAGGCAACACCACACATCTACAACCATCTGATCTTTGACAAACCTGACAAAAACAAGCAATGGGGAAAGGATTCCCTGTTTAACAAATGGTGTTGGGAAAACTGGCTAGCCATGGGCAGAAAGCAGAAACTGGACCCCTTCCTGACACCTTACACTAAAATTAACTCCAGATGGATTAAAAGCTTAAACATAAGACCTAACATAATAAAAACCATAGAAGAAAATCTAGGCAAAACCATTCAGGACATAGGCATAGGCAAGGACTTCATGATCAAAACACCAAAAACATTGGCAACAAAAGCCAAAATAGACAAATGGGACCGAATCAAACTCCACAGCTTCTGCACAGCAAAAGAAACAGTCATTAGAGTGAATCAGCAACCAACAGAATGGGAAAAAATTTTTGCAGTTTACCCATCTGACAAAGGGCTGATATCCAAAATCTATAAAGAACTAAAACAGATTTACCAGAAAAAAAAACAAACAAGCCCATTCAAAAGTGGGTAAAGGAAATGAACAGACACTTTACAAAAGAAGACATACATGAGGCCAACAAACATGAAAAAATGCTCATCACTGGTCATTAGAGAAATGCAAATCAAAACCACATTGAGATACCATCTCACGCCAGTTCGAATGGTGACCATTAAAAAATCTGCAGACAACAGATGCTGGAGAGGATGTGGAGAAATAGGAACACTTTTACATTGGAGTGTAAATTAGTTCAACCATTGTGGAAGACAGAGTGGTGATTCCTCAAGGACCTAAAAATAGAAATTCCATTTGACCCAGCAATCCCATTACTGGGTATATATCCAGAGGATTATAGATCATTCTACTATAAGGACACATGCACACGAATGTTCGCTGCAACACTGTTTACAATAGCAAAGAGCTGGAACCAACCCAAATGCCCATCGATGATAGACTGGACAGGGAAAATGTGGCACATACGCACCATGGAATACTATGCAGCAATCAAAAACAATGTGTTTGTGTCCTTTGTAGGGACATGGATGAACCTGGAAACCATCATTCTCAGCAAACTGACACAAGAACAGAAAATCAAACACCTCATGTTCTCACTCATAGGTGGGTGTTGAACAATAAGAACACATGGACACAGGGAGGGGAGCATCACACACCGGGGTCTGTCAGGGGAAAATAGGGAAGGGATAGCAGGGGATGGGGAGTTGGAGAGAGATAGCATGGGGAGAAATGCCAGATATAGGTGATGGGGAGGAAGGCAGCAAATCACACTGCCATGTGTGTACCTATGCAACGAACTTGCATGTTCTTCACATATACCCCAAAACCTAAAATGAAATAAAATGAAATTAAATAAATAAATAAATAAATAAAATGCTTTTATTTCCTGGAAAAAAAAAAATCCTCCTTCCCCACCCACTTGAGACCACCCTGAACAAATGTGTGTTTATAATGGCCCAGTTTATTTCGTTGTGTTTTCATCTTTGTTAACCTGTGTTTAGGTCTGAAAACACTACATCCAAATTACAGTCTCTTGACCCCTGCTAATGCCCATCACCTACAACAATGGCTGGTACTTAGGAACTGCTCAAAAATATTTGTTGAAGGAACTGCAGAATGCAGTTATCTTAGAATGGGTAACAGTATCTCTAACATACATTTTATTTAGTTTAAGACTCCTTAACACAAGAAGGTGTTGCTCCTTCACCACTGCTGCAGCCATCACGGGCCACTCCTGAGGTGGATGAAGCAGGCGGACGTGGCTGCTGGTCAGCTGTGGAGGCACCTCCTGGCACAGGGCCCAGAGGGCAAGAACACTGGTGACACACAATGCCATTACTATGGCTCAGGCCACGGATTGAGAGATGCAGCTCTCAGGGCACACAGGTATCAGCTTTCACAGGCTCCTGTGCCCAGTCAGGCTACATTCTTCTCCCATGGGCATGGGGACCCCAAACATCTCATGATGACAGCTGCTTCTCCAGGATTTCCTTGATCACGGCTGGATCTGCTCGGTTTAGTGTTGCTTTCCGGACCAACCCAATCAGTTTATTTATAGCTCTGGGGTTTCCCTTCTTCACATCCATTACCTGCAAAGACAGGAATTGCTGAAAAGGAGAAAATGAAGAGACTCATGCCCCCAAATCCCAAACTAAGGCTTCAGTTTGCTGAAAATTAAATTCTGCTTCTTTCCACTAGTATTAGAGATAAAATGAGGAACAGCAAAGGGGGAGGGGCCTAACTTCTGAGTAGGTTTCTAGGCTCCTGTCAAAGGAGATATTTGCTATTCTGCCTTCTGATTAAAATGAGCAAGAAGTGATTGCTCACAGCCAGAGAAGCTGGCACATGGGAGCCAGGGCCCTCTCCTCTGGGACACCACTATGACCGAGGACAGAGTCTGGGGAGGGATAATCTCTCTGAGATGAATCACTGTGTCTAATCAGTGAGGACACCTCTCTGATTCTCAGTAACACGTAGCTGAAATGTGCAGCTTTCCTTCTCCCCCTGCTCCCCACCAAGGAGATCCCTTTGTCAGAAAGCAGATCTACACACTGGCCCAGTCTTCCAGAGCACTGGGTAGGGGAGTGAATAAGTCAGGAGGCGCTGAATTCCTATCAATCAAATAGCCACTGACTGACAGGGCCACCGCTCGGTCTCCTGCTCTGTGCCGTCTCCAGGGGCAATGACGTGACGATTTGCACTCAAGTGCCGCAGAACGGGCCCGTAACTACAAGCGCGTCTTTATCAGTCACCACAGATGAGGCCGGAAGATGAAACTGTGAGGCCCGGCGCAGGATCATTTTCCTTATCAAGAGCTCTTTACAGAGCTGTGAGTGTCCCTGGCAAGCTGATGGGTGGGTAGGTGGGCAGGCATTATTCTGAAAAAGATGCTAATAGTTTTTTTTCCCCACTGAAAAATATCTCCGGACAATATGACTAGACTTGGGGAGGGAGGGATGCCACTCATTTGAGCTTTTCTGTCTTGTGCTGTGCTACAAACACAAAATGACCTTGTTTTCAGCCATGCTCCCGTTAGGGATTTTCTCCACAATTTATAAATACTTTCCCTTCTGCCTTTCTTCCCACCTCTTAGAAGCATGAAGCTGAAGTTCCTGTACTCTCCCTGCTCTGGTTCCTTATTGGGAGGTCCTTATGAAGTAGCACTAACCACAACAGATTCGAAATGCCAACCCTGGGAGAGGGTGACACGCCTGGGAGGTCACAGCTTGGATTTCGTGAGCTTGCGGACACCCTTTTAAACTACACCTCCATGGAGAGTAAACTCTAGGGGTGGTATCCTCCTTATAGGAAAAGAAGTTGCATTTTTCCAATATTCACCTATTTCATCTCTTCTGACCTCAACTAAAAAGATGACAAAAGTAATGAGGGAATGATTGATGAAACTGGGCCAGCCATTCTTAAGACAAGCCTCTGGCCGTGTCCTGCGGCTGGCTCTGCAGGCGGCCCTAGCCCTGGCCCTCTCCCCTGCCCAAGACAGTCACCACTTGAGGATGGTCCTTCATCACCGAGTAGCAGAACTGCTCCAGTGCCCCACGGTCCTGCATCAGTTCAAGTTGCTTTTCTGAAACAATCTGCCCTGGAGTCTTCCCTTCCCTCTTCCACAGTTCCTCAAACACCTACAGGCCAGAGAAGGGAGGGGAAAGAGAAGCGAGAAGTCAGCTCTTCTGGCAGCTCCATTTGCACTGCTGTGGTAGCACTGGGGCGGATTCAATTAAGACCCTGCTGCTTGAGCCTGGCCTGAAGGGAAAGGGCAAATGCCTGCCCTGCCAGGGCCTTGACTTTCCCGATCCCTGAGTGCAGGACTGGAGAATGAAGCCAGCTAGATGGAATGAATGCACCAGGGTCTCCTCCTGAGGCTGTCTCCCTCAGCACAGGGTGTGAGAGGACTTAGGCCAGCCAGGTGCCCCTGTGCCCGGAGGGATGGTGAGTCCTCCCTGACTGACTCCACACGGGAAGTGTGGAGATGCCTGTCACTCACGGGTGCCTGCTGATGGGAGTCAGAGGGCCAGTGATGGATTGGTCTCAGGGCTGCTGAACTAATTAATTGAGGTGATATTTTGGTGAAGGATGGGGCCACAGAGCCTGCAGGAAGTAACCACGGTACTAAATAAAGACCAGAAACAGCCTGCTGGGAAAGATGACTTTTGTAGGGGGCAGGAAAGTGGCCCTATAATGAAGATACAAAATGGCAAACAACTGAAAACATAAATTACAATCCACAGGGCCCCTGGCCTACCACATTCATCTCCTACAGGTAGAGCTGGACCCGAATCAGACTAGGATAATGAACGCTAATGACCGGTGTATTTTTCTACTTAAAAAATGATAACAAATCCCCAAACTCATCAAACCCGAGAAAGAGGAAACCATTTTCAAGGAAGGCATTTCCTAGGGTAGCTGTTTTTCTCATTCCTTGTGTCTTGTAGCAAAAGCCAGAACTGGGGCAGGAAAGGGCTTCCTCTGTTGGTCTCCTGCGGGTGCCACCTCCGTCCAGCCTGCAGTCATGACTGAACACTGAACATTCCCGGTTACGTTGGCGGCCGAGAATGGGCCAACCAGGAGCCATTCCTCCTGGAAAAACAGAGCTCTTCCATAATTAGCAAGAACAGCAAAGCAAATAAAAGAAGATGCTCTGAGTCTCAGCAGGGCTCTAAGTCTTCCCCAGTCTGAAACAAAACAAATTGCAAATACTTATCATCACTACAACAGGCACTGCGCCTTCAGCCTGGCGCCTCCAAACGTGTGCCGTGACTGTGGCCAAGGAGGTGTGCTTTGCAGGTCCTGGCTAAGCTCCACACAGGGTACCTCTCTGCCACTGCCTGACTGCTCAGGAAAAGCCTGGCCCTACATATGCATCCAACTCAATTCAGCCAATATGTATATGGTCTGACAATGAGGAAGCCATTGGGAGAAGCAGGACACAGAAGCAGGAGGAAATTTCTTGCCCTTAACATGCTTATCAGTGCAGCGTTGTCAGCAGAAGTACTGGGAACCTGGATGGCGTTCCATGGAGCTGTGCTGTAAGTCTGAGGAATCCATCTGCCCCCTTTCTCTGACATTTTTATTTTTTGAACTAGGACTTACATTTTAAAGAACATTTTCTAATGATAAAAGTTAATACATATTCACTGAGGAAAATATAAGGAAATACAGGAGAGATCAAAAGAGATCACCGGCATTCCCATTTCCTCAAGAAAACCAATGTTAATATTTTGGTTTTTGCTTCCATCTTTTTTCTGTTTTGTAACATACTTGTGATCATAATGTATATTCAGTTTGTGTCCTGCTTTTTTTCGTTTATTACAGAAGTACTTTCTTAATAAAAAAGATCTAGTATCCATCAGATGTATTTATCATAATTTATCCCCTCCTGGTAGATATATCTAGACTTTAACCAGTGTTGATTCTGTGCATCTGCACAGACTCCCAAAAAAGCTCCTAGCTGAATATATCCAACATTCAGGAAGAGAGAGGAAAGATCTCAAAACCTGGCTCAAAACAGAAACCACCTGTAAGGACTTGCTCATGAAAAACCTATACAGCAGTTCCCTCCAGGAAAACCAGGCGGATAAGCAGCCTGTGCCTGGAAGCAGGCGGGGCCACTCCTGGGTCTGCTTCTGCAGACACCGACCAGGGAGCGATTTCTCTGTGCCTGAGGTAGCTGCTGCGGCAGGAAGCACAGAGCAGACCCTGAGCAGGCTGGCCAGGGAGCCAGCCTCTGCCTGGCGGGACCCACAGCTCGAATGCTGGCTGGATTTGCCTGAGCCAAAACAAGGAGAGGAGTGGCAGAGTGCTCGGGGATTACTTCCAGTCACACCATCCAGGAGAAGCAGCGCACCACTAGGACAGATGCCTTCAAATGCAGAGGCTGATGCCTTCAAACACAGAGGCTGGCTGCTCCCCTAGAAGGGCCAGGCAGGGTGGGGGTACCAAGCAGAGACGCTAGAGAAAGATCATTCAGCAGCCTCCCAGAACATATGGGAGCCCCATGGCTGACATGTTCTTTCCTCCTAGAGTTAGAATACATATGTTTGTTAACTCCACAAATGATTGCAGTGGCCAAGACAGTCCAGGCCCCCAGTTCCCAGCTCACTGGGCTGATAAAACAGATGCCAGTTGTCCCATCCTCTGTTCAATCTTATTTAAGAAAAGGATTGCGCACTCCTGGCTGGACCCCAGGAGGGTGGGAGCAATGGGGTAGTGGTGGCAGGCTCTGTCTCCGGGCCAGACTCTCCTACTCCTGGCCCTTTTGATGCTCACAGAGTGGCCTCTGTGGCTGCCGAGCCCTGTGCTGCAGCATAAATCCTCAGCTTTTGTCTGTGTTTAATCACACCCTGGGAAGTGATATCCAAGTGCAACTGTTTCCAGCCAGGAGTGCAGCTCCCAGGCCCTGCTGCTGCCGACCCAAGACAAACAGATGGAATGAGGAATTTCTAGCATAGTGCTGGTCCTCTGTGTTAATAAATGGCCTACCAGAAGTACTGGGTAATGCAAGCTGGGAACCCCCATCACACACAAACACTGGAGCCAGCTCTGATGCATGGGGCAGAGACTTGGCCTTTGGTTCCCTGAGGACTGAATTTACACACCCTCTTAACTGCCACCTCTCAACTGTTTCTCCAGCTAAAGCTATTTTTGAAGTATCCTGAAGGGCAGCACACAGGCCCCCAGCATCTCCCTGCCTGTCCTGGGTTTCCAAGGTCAGGATATGGGGGAAAGACCTGTTCAAGGGACATGGCAGGGAGGGAGCTGTGACAGTTACAGAGAAGGGAGTCCCCTTTTTGGTCAAAGGCAAGTATTGTGAAAGGTTAATTTTCTAGAAAGGCATAAACATCAACCCAAGCCCCCAAGAAAGTGGGGGCCAGTAAACTGCAGATAACTGAAGCACTAAGAGACAGAAAAAGGCATTTGTAATACAGCTTTAGTGCATGACAGGTAACATTTTGTTCATTAAAAGGTTTTTGGTGATTTCTCTTTAAAGCAGATTCCCAAGTAGACAAGAGATGGCACGCTTATTATGGCACACTTGTGTTACTATGGCACGCTTGTGTGTTAAATGCGATTTCTATCTCTATGGCACCCAATCTAGCTGGGTCCTGCCAGAAACATACACTGGACGATTCAGGGGATGGTGGATCATCCGCATCTATTTCCAGACATGCATGAAGGAGATGCACCTACACCCCATACAATTTCCCTTGAACCATGACTGACCAGTGTCTGGACAACATCCAGAGCTTCTGAGTCACAGGAGGCTTGGGAATCCTGGGAGGCTGTTCTCAGGTTAGCTATGATTCTGACAGTTTATGAGTCTGAGGTGTCCAAGCTGACCCTGTCTTTAGTGAGGGGAGGAGATGGGGTGCCACCTACCACTTCAGTACACAGCCTGGGTCTTGTGAGGGGCACATGGGATACTTTTGTCTACAGTTATCAGGAGGTAACTGCTTATAATGATCTATGATTTCCCAGCTTCTATTTCTGATTCTGAAGAACAGGGCTGCTTCATGGCAGCAACCTCTTAACTCCCCTGGCCCTGGGGTGCTGAAGGGAAGAGATTTGTAAATCTTGGAAACACTGGCAGGACACCTGGGAGGAGGGTGCACTGAAATGCAGAAGGAATGAAAATAATGCACAAAGAAGTTGATGAGAGACAGGCAGAGGAAGACAGGTTAATAATTGATCAGAGCACATTCTGCTGTTAGAACAGGGTTCTTCTTTCTGTGTGTCTGTCAACCCTAGGAGTTAGTCACTGAGTCGCCTTTTTTCCTTATCCCCTGGTCATCTAATCACTTAATGGAGCCTCTTCCAGTTCTGCCAGAGGCAATACCAATAACCAGTAGGATCAGAGAGTCTTTTTGTTCTGGCTCACTACTTTCTAAAACCCATGCCATGCTTGGACTCTTCTGTTAAATTAGGGAAAAAAAAAAAATAACTGCAACACATTTTTTCTTTTTAAAAAAAGTATACTATAAAAATAAGATACAAAAATATTCTCAACAGATTATGGAAATGCAAATCAAATCCACAGTGAGATACAACTTCACATCCACAAGGAAGGCTGTAGAATCAAAAAGATGAACCATAACAAGTGCTGGTGAGGACATGGAGAATCTGGAACCCTCACACACTGCAGATAAGACTGTAAGAAGGTGCAGCCATTTTAGAATATAGTCTGGCACTTCCTCATAATGTTAAACACAGCATTACCTTATGACCCAGAAATTCAATTCCTGTAGGTATACACCCAACCTATGCTCAAACACTTGTACGTGACTGTTCAAGGCCGCATTATTCCTAATAGCCAAAATGTGGAAACAACTCGAATATCCATCAATTGACAAATGGACAGACAAAATGGGGTGTGTCCATACAATGGTAGAGGGGCTTGGCAGACGAGCAGCCCCATTTATCCCTAAAAAGGAGTGAAGGACGGATGCATGACGCAACACAGATAACTTTTCATAAACTGTCCAGATAAACTGAAAATAAATAATACAAAGTGAATAAATACATAAAATAGCCAGATAAAATGTTCAGGACACTATATAATTAAAATAAGAAATGAACTTTTAAAAGTACCCTATAACTTCAGTTTTTGAAAGTCTTTGTTGCTATCCTTTCTTCCTCACTCCTCCCCCTAGTTCCTTCCTTATGCTGATCTAATATTAAAGGTAACTATCTCAACGTGGTAGAATCTGAGAATCTTTTTCTGTACTACTTATATTTTTTATAATCAATATATATTACTTTCCCCTAGAAAATCAGTAATTTCCTAAAAAACAGAAAACAAAAGGTAGAAAAACAAAAAACCCCAAGGCACTGACACATAAGGGGGATCCCCTTATGCAGCACACACTAGACGCCCTTCTAGCCAGGCTTGTATTTTCGTCTGACTGCCTCACAGAAGCCACCTCCTTTCAACATGTTGGAAGTTGATAAAATCTGAAAGCATCTCTACATCTGAACCCAGCTGTCAGCATCTTCCAACATTTTCCATTTCCTCCTACTGGAACTATCTTATTCACCGCACTAGGTTTTTTGTTTTGTTTTGTTGTGGGGCAGGATGGGTAGGAGGAAGGGGAAGGTTTTTTCCTTCTTTCATTTCACATGCTATAATTCATGTGCTCTTCTGTATATATGTATAGTGTTTTTTTCCGCCCTCAGGCCATCTAATCTTCCTGCAACTGCTGAGCATTATAATAAACATTTGTATTCCCCTGACATCCAGACAAGCGAGAGCCTTTCCTAAACTCGGTGAGGTCCCTGTAGTTGACAGCCTCACTAGAGGTGGGTAAACAGAGACTTTATTAGTCCTGTCTCCGGTTCCACAGCCAGTGTGCGCCATGGTGCCTCATCATCAGCCAAAAGCAGCCACTTTCCCCCAGCCTCCCTTTGTAACCTGCCACTACTGTCGGTGCAGATAAACGTTACATGCAAAAGACACCATTAAAATAACATTAAACTCCTGGCTGAAGCACTGACAGCTGCGATCTCTGAAGCTGGGAGGAGGCAGCTGCCTTGGTGTTCCTCATCTTTCTGAGTATGCATTTTTAAGAATTTTCTGAATTCCAGGAGTCTTTCACCCACCCAGCACTGTTAGGTCAAGGTACAGACAGACAAAAGCTGCTTAGGATGATGCTATTTTTCTGAGTTTTCACACACTGGGCATGTCTGACTTCACCCTCCATGCTGAGGACAGATTCTCCAAGAGCAACTGTGCGGCAGGGACAAGGGAGGCCCTGGGACTGGCTGGGAGGCTGTGGAGGGCAGGGCAAGAGCCCCAGGTAGGCTGAGAGTTGAGCTGAGGCTGCCTTAGGCATGAGGCAAAGTGCTCAGTTGTAAAAGGCCCAGGGAAGACATGTTAAGGGGAGAAGTTCAGGGCAGGACCAGACAATAACTATTCCCTCAGGTTAGCAATGATAATGAGAACCAAACTGGCTGCATTGCACATATTAGCTTCATATCCTTGCTAAATGTTTCTACCTTTCAGCATTAAAAACATCACTATGGCTGGGCAAGGTAGCTCATGCCTGTAATCCCAGAACTTTGGGAGGCCAAGCATTACAAGATCAGGAGGTTGAGACCATCCTAACCAACATGGTGAAACCCCATCTCTACTAAAAATACAAAAATTAGCCAGGCATGGTAGTGCATGCCTGTAGTCTGAGCTACTCGAGAGGCTGATTGCTTGAACCCGGGAGGTGGAGGTTGCAGTGAGCTGAGATCACACCACTGCACTCCAGCCTGGCAACAGAGCGAAAAAAAAAATCACTCAAAGCATTTACTACTTTCATGATGAAAATCACTCAACGATAGCATTGGGGTGTCACAGAAGACATTTCTCAGGACAGTGGTACAGTCAGAAGCTGTAGAGAGTATGGACATACCTGTTTAGCTGCTGATGAAGAAATCGTTCTGCTGTCCAACAGGTCAAGAAGCTCAGCAAGCGCAGAGGGTGTGACAGGACTGGTGGCCCCCAAAAGAGAAAACACATTTACACTGCATACTGTCAGGGCATCCATGAATGGCTGTTCAGAATCAGAACACTCGATTTCATGGGTGTAAACAATCAGACCCACGGCCAGGGATGATAACAGCAGGCCAACTGGGCTCTCTTTCATTTCATTTATTTTATATTTTAGGATATAACCAATTTTTGTGACTAGTGTTCTTTTACCACTCAACAATAACAGCTGTTTGGCAGAAGTTGTAGCAACAGACAACTGCTCAGTGTAATTAGTCAAGAAAAAAAGGTGGCTGCAAAATTCATGAACCACAACAGGAAAGGGAAAATAAACTCTAGTAATTAAATATTTTCAACTAAAAGATCAGCCTAAAAAAAAAAAAACAGCTAACAAAGTCACTTTTCTGAGTGTTTCTGTGCAAATATAAATTCCTTTTAATTGTAAGCAGTTTTCTGCAAGGAAACACAATGACTAACAGCCTCGTCTTCATCCATCCTCGGGAACCTGATACATAATACATACTCTCTTCTCTTCTGCAGGCTCACGAAAGGACACAGAAGGGCCTAGAATCCACCATACCTGTATTTCTAGGATGTGACTTATTTGCCAATATTACATGAGATAAAAGGTCAGGGGCAACCATACACTGTGGAACAGTAAAGTGTCATTAACTCACTTTAAGGTAAATTAGTAGTAGGGGTGAGTGCCTAAATTATGGAAAAGACAAGAGTGAATTACAAACTATTTCTTTTAAAAAGTAAGGTTTTGTGACTTCTAAATACAGGATGAGTATACCTTATCTAAAATACTTGGGACCAGAAGTGTTTCCAATTTTGGATATTTTTGAATTTTGGAATATTTGCATTATACTTACCAGTTTAGCATCCCTAATCCGAAAGTCTAAAATCTGAAATGCTCCAATGAGCATTTCCTTTGCTCATCATCGTCAATGCTCAAAAAGTTTTAGGTTTTGAAGCATTTTGGATTTCCATGTTAGGGATACTCAACCTATATATACAGCAACTAGGCTAATGAAATGCTGTACATCTGAGGTCATTTGGGGACTGGTTTTAAAAAGATCAGAATGAATAAATAGCACATTAGTGTGCCTGTGTAAAGAAGGCTTCTGAAATGCTTCCTGCCACTGGAAATCAGGCTTTAAGTTTTGGTTCCCATCATTCACAATTAATTTATTTGGGTGTGCTTAGAATATAAAATGGAAACTACAGCTTATTAATCCCTGTGCTGATTTCCAGGACTCCAAATCAATGGAGTGCACGTTAACCAGGTATGACTTACTGTACTCTCATTCAAGTCCAGTGAAACCCTATTAGGGCTGTCCACTTAAAACAGCTGATGTACGGAGGCAGCTTATCCTTTAAGTGTCTGTTTATCCCAAAGTATGGCTAAAAGGCAATTCCAAGTGAAAATTAGGTTTGTAGATTATCTGGTGTTGCTAAATTGGTATTCAGAACATCTGTGAACCACCCTGATTAAACCTCAAAAGGAAGAGGAGCAGAGGGCTGCTAAACACACTAATATCCCTTTTCAACCTCCTACCTTTACTGACAAGTAAAAGGAAGGAGGGTTTTTCTAAAAGTGTGGTTTGCTTGATGTTGTCCAATCCTAGAAAATACAATGGCCAATTATCTTAGAATGTAGACTCTGCGTAGAACCCACAATAAGCACTGAGGTGGAACTGGATTTCTTGAGTGTGTGAAAGATAAGGTCCTCAGCCTCACATGAGTCGACGATTATCTTCATCTGTCTGGGCTGCTCTAACAGGTTAGTACCAAAGGAGACGTGGTTTATAAACCATAGAAACCTTATTTCTGCTCTGGAGGCTGGGAAGTTCAAGATGAAGGTGCCAGCAGATTCCATGTCTAGTGAGGGTCTACTTTTTCACTGGTGGCAACTTCTAGCTGCGTCCCCATGTGGTGGAAGCGCTTAGAAGTTTCTTTGATAAGGGAGCTAATTCCATTCCTGAAGGCCCCTCCCTGATGACCTAATCACCCACCAAAGGTTCCATTTCCTCACACCATCACCTTAGGGGTCAGGATTTCAACACAGGAATTTGAGGGAGGATCCAAACATTCAGACTGCAACAATGATATAAAAGATGGGGTGGAGAGGGACAGAACTTTAAGGAACACAAAACAACTAAAAATACGTTGTCTTTGAGAAATTCATGTAAGGACCTCAATTTATCAGTTGGGTAATAAATTTAGACTATAAAATCTCTCCACTGACATAATCACACTTGGGATTTCTCCATCACCTTTATGTCCCCACAATGCCTGTCACACAGTAGGTCATCATATTTGTGTCACAGGCTTCCTCACACCCACAGGGATGTCTGGCAGGCTGCACATGGTAATTCCATATATGCCAGGGTTAAATTTGAGTCAGACAATGACAAAAATCGGTACTGTCACACAGACCCTGAAAGACCCCACTCATCAGTTCAATAAATAAACCTCAGACTTGACACACAATGGCAGCAGCAGCACAGGCTACTAATTTGCTGCTGTCAGATAATATTGGTTTCCGGACAGTGAATGCGTCTCCGCTAAAGAAGAAACTGACTCTTCGACCTTCAGCTCTGTGTGCTGCTCTCTTCTCTCCCATTCTGAGGCCAACGGATTGACGGAGGAGGGGAAAGGGGCTCTTTCGAAGCTCCAAAATTTGTCGAGCTCATTCAGGATCACAGCTCCATCTCCAGCTTGGATGAGGAGAGCAGACACCCTGTTGCTTCTACAACCACCCCTACCCCTATGCTGCCTGTCTCAATCCCCGAGCTTATCTCAGGCCCAAAGTGCACCTTCTCCACCTCTGTTAAAACGGATGCAAGAAGAAGGAAGACACTGGGACCTGGGCCTCCAGCGGGCACTTGCTGCGCACGAGAATTCTGTGTTCATCTCATGGATTTCACTGCACACCTAGTGGTGCCCCGCCAAGTGGCTGTTCCAGGCTGCCCCCTTCCCACTTCCCTCCTCTGCACATGCCCTCGCCTCCCATTTCACAAGGACATCAGCTGAGCCATGGTAGAGAATCTTCCAGGGCATTCTCCTCCTCCTCTTCCATCTAACAACCCTTCCACCCCTGCTCAGAACCCCACCACCCACTGTCCGCTCCTCCGAACCAAATATGCTAATTTCCTGTGTTCTGTGGCTTAAATCTCACGGCTTCACAAATGCTCCAATCTCCCTATCTTGAAAATGCCTTGGGCTGACCTTGCAGTCACAAAAATTATGATCTAATACCAGTGGCTACTGCCCGCCCTGTGTAAGCACATGCCATCTGGATTCTGTGCCTAGCCCTCTACAGAAGCTCTTCTCTTAAAAATCACCCCCTCGCTTGTGACCAAATATTCAGCTTCTTCCCAGCCCACTATGCCCTGACTCCTGGGGCTGCACCAAAAGCTCCTTGTGAAACCCCCTTTGTGGGTCTCTGGAATCTCCCTCTTCCTCGCCTGTCCTTCTGCTCCTCCTTGCCTTTTCATGCCAGGTGAGTCTGGTGCCCTCTTCCTGGGTCCTCTGATTTGACCCCAGCTGAGAGGAGGACGCGCACACAGCCCAGGGCTGCACTGCTGCCTCAGACCCCATTTCCCTCCCCTGCTGACTTCAACCACCTCCTGAGAGGCCCCGTTCACAGCCAGACGATGTGCTCTAAACCAGGACCGCAAACTTCTGGGAGGAGCTGGAGGGTGCACATTTGAGGCTTGGTGAGTGCTCTCTGTCACATATGCTTCTTTGTTTTAACAAAGGTGAAAGCAATTCTTAGTTACAGGCTATATAGAACTATAGTCGCAGGCTATACAGAACTATAATATAGTTTCCCAATCCTTATCCTAAGCCAAACTTGTCTTCCTCACAGACCAGCTCCTCTGCTGTTTCCCACCCATCTTCTGTCTCGACTGATGACAGGCCCATGTTGTAGTTACCAGGGTGCAGATTACCACGCTGTCTTCACTTTATTCATCACCTACTCCCTGAAAAATCTAGTACCTTCTTACCAGATCCCAGTGATCCTTCCAAACATGAATTACAGCCGTCCTTCCCTCTGCATTCCTGACACCACCACTTCTGACTTGCTGTGGCTCTGGCCATGGTGAGCTCCCACAGGTTTCAATGCCTGCAGCCCATCCTTGGATGCTACCCTACATTGTATGCTGTGGGACATATCTTCCTCTCGCCGCCAGTCCCTTCTTGGTTTAAAAGCCTTCCCTTGCTTCAGTGCTTAGGGACTACTGCTTGCTCACCAGAAACACTGGGGCAGTCAAGTGGCTTGGACAACTGGATAGCTGCACCTGCCTAATTTTACCATGACATACTTGGTCAGGAAATCTACAATGTCCACTTTTTTAACTGAACCAAACCTGTTACTCATAATTCAGAAGTTGTTAACCAAATAAACCAACCTTTCAAAGCAATATACTCGATTAAAAAGCCAAGTTCAACAAGAGGCTGGACCCTTCAAATATCAGTCTTCTGAGAGGTATTTAAAAATGAGTGCTAATTCACAAAATCATTCTCTACTAGTTTGATCTCTAGAATGTTCCTTGCCCAGGTGTCACTAAGAGACCACCTAGTTTTGCAGCTACTGCCCTTCTAAGCTTTGGAAACATTAGCCCTAGCAGCTGAGCCTGTTCAGTAATTAATGTTTGCTCTAAGGGTAGGCTGGTATATCAGTGCAGCTAAACGTTCTTTGAACTGAGTAGGAAAAGAGCTGCTATGGTTTGGTTTTGGCTTCTCAGTCCTTGCTCCATTTAAACTATAAAAGAGAACTGTTGCCTGCTTCCTCTTTACTTGATTTTGGAACAACTAAGCCTACTTTTATTTCGAATTGGGTACCTTCAGGTTCTTAAAACTCTAGTGCTGGCCAGGTGTGGTGGTTCATGCCTGTGATCCCAGGACTTTGGGAGGCCGAGGCAGGCGGATCACGAGGTCAACAGATCGAGACCATCCTGGCCAACATGGTAAAACCCTGTCTCTATTAAAAATACAAAAATTAGCTGGATGTGGTGATGCATGCTGGTAGTTCCAGCTCTCAGGAGGCTGAGGCAGGAGGATCACTTGAACCCAGAAGGCAGAGGTTGCAGTGAGCTGAGATTGTGCCATTGCACTCCAGCTTGGTGGTGACAGGCTCCTTCTCAAAAAGAAAAGAAAACTCTAGTGATTATGAACTGCTTGGGTAAATACCAGGGGCTCCGGGTCCACTCAACAGGCTAATTTATCCCTCAGCTCCTTTAGAGGCCAGCAAAATGGCTGTTAAATCCCTAGCTTCACAGAGCAACATATAAAGAAGTCAATCACAAGTCCGGGGACTTGGCTTCCAGTCTTTGGCGCTGTGCCATCTGAGGCAAGTCACCTTATCTCCTAGGGCCTCCATTTCCTCGTCTGCTAAATGAAAGAGCTGAAGATCTCTAAGGTCTCTTCCAAGACTAAAGCTCAGCAATTCCATAAATTTTAACCAACAACATAGAAAAATGGTAAGTTTAAAGCGAAAACATCTCTATTTCCTCCAGAAGCACAAACACCTCATCTTCTTGGAGCTTTCTTGGAATCTTCTGGCTAATGTGAATCTCCCTCCTCTCTGTTCCCACTGCACTGTGTCTAGTTCCAACACTAGAAGCATCCCATTCTGCCTCGAATTAAAATTCTGATGCACAAGTTCTAGTCCTCCCCAGGAGATGACAGCACTTATAGAGTCAGGACCAGGTCCTGTGCATCCCCCACACACCACAGAGTGGGGCTCTGGACCTGCTGGGTTCAGGGCTGAATCCCAGTAACATTCCAGAGGCTCCCTATTCTGGCTCAGCTCCAGCTCTGCCCACAGCCATACCTCTTGGCCACTTTCCACCCTCTGCTCCTGCCAGCTACACCAATCATGCCAGTTCTTTGCCATTCCTGCATCTGGGCTCTGGGTAAGCACTGCCCTCTCCCTTGTGAAATCCTATCCAACCTTGAAGGCTCTGGTAGAGCTGTATCCCATCCATAAAGTCTTCCACACAGCTCCTGCCTCCACAGAACAGATGCCATGTCACCCAGGCTGGTCTTGAACTCCTGACCTCAAGTGATCTGCCCGCCTCGGCCTCCCAAAGTGCTGGGATCATAGAGTTTTCAGCATAAACAGCAGAATTTCTGAATGTAGAGGCCAAGCCCAAGAGGCAGGCTGGGTGCAGTGACTCAGGCCTGTAATTCCAGCACTTTGGGAGTCTGAGGAGGGTGAATCACTTGAGGTCAGGAGTTTGAGACCAGCCTGGCCAACATGGTGAAACCCTGTCTCTACTAGCCAGGCATGGTGGCCAGTGTCTATAATCCCAGCTACTCAGGAAGCTGAGACTTGAGAATTGCTTGAACCTGGGAGGTGATTGCAGTGAGCAGAGATGGCACCACTGTACTCTAGCCTGGGTGACAGAGTGAAATTCTGTCTCAAAAAAAAAAAAAGACCAAGAGGTAGCCACAGAGTTCAGCAGATGAGATGAGGGTGGCAGGTGCTTTGGTATTTAGCACACCACCCTGGAAAAAAGAAGGTAGCTAATACTGAGGCCCACGACGTGCGAGGCACTGTGAATTTTCCCCTCAAAAGCTCTCTGAGGCAGGTCCTGCCATTTTCACTTTGCTGTGAGGAAACTGACAGTCGGGGGGGGGATCTCATTCAAGGTCACTTCTGGGGTGAGCAGCCGATTCAGGAAGGGAACTAACGCCCTGGCCACACTAACACATGGATGTGTGCATTAACAGCCAGGGGCTGAACATGGGGTTGACACGATCTAGAGTTAACTTCTTTGAGCAAACAACTGTTGGGAGTTGTTATTTGTCAATATCTGTCTGTCTTCATTCCCCAGGATGCTGCTGAGACAATGACATACCCACCTGGCCTGGGTCTCCCTGCTCCTGGGACCTTGCCAGGCCTTGCCACCTATCTCTGCCTATGTGCCTCCAGGGAACTCTCTTCCTGATGCCCCACAGTGAAACCTGCTGCCCATTCTTTCCTTCTTCAAACCTGCCTTTCCCTTGGTTTGTGTCACCAGTACCCACCCTGGTTTCCTTGTTTTCCTTCTACATCTGTGCTGTCCCGCCTCCGTTTCCTTCTTCTCTGCCCATGCTTCCCAGTTAAAGGCTAGAGAGCCTCAGGTTCCTTCCCCAGCCACGCTAGCATGATGCACTCCCTGAAAGTTCACATCTGTCCAATGGCTTCAAAGACAGACGCTGCTAAGTCCAAGTTTCACTTACGCTGTGCCATGTCCCTGCATTCCCCAAACTCTCAGGCCCAGACTCACCTAAGATTTTTCCACGTGCTGTTCTCCACACCTGGAACACTTTTCCCTGTCAGCCTTGGCCTGTGCCTGCTCGTCGTTTCCTCAGGTCTTAGCTTAGCTGCCACCTTCTTTCCCTCCAAAGCACCCCCCGTCACTGCACTGTAGCCACCAGCTTCAAGGCTGCCTGTCCTTTGATTCAGGGCCAGTGTCTGTCCCAGGGACTGTGCTTCTCATGCTGGGCACAGAGTTTAGCACACAGCAGAGGCTAAGTGAACAGGAGCTGAATAATGAACCAACAAGAACTCTCAACTGCAAACCTCCCCAAGATCTCATCAGCTGCAGACCCATAGATCTTGCCTACTGGTTAGCCCCATGACGGGACATCTGTCCTGCAAGCAGCTCAAAGTCAGCACGTCTGAAATGGATTACGGCATCTTCCCTCACCCCTGGCCTGTTAAGTTTCTTCCTCTTCCTTTAGCTTCTCCTACATCAAAAAGTCTACCCTCTGTTTCACCTCTACCCAAACAAGAAATCTGGAAGTTGTGCCAATTGAGATAACTGCTCTCAACTTGGCCTCCTCACTTCAGTCTAGCCACTGCCACCTTGGCTCAGGCCTGGGGCATTTCTCATCTGCATTCCTGTAAGAGGTTCCCAAATGGAATTCCTGCTTCTAGTCTGCTCTCTGACACTGAATATTTGTGTCCCACCCCAAATTCCTATACTGAACTGCAATGGTTTTAGGGGATGGGGCCCTCAAGGAGTAAAGAGGTCTAGAAGAGGTCATGAGGGTCCCTGTGGTGGGAAAGCTGCTCCTGTAAGAAGAGACCGGAGGGCCTTCTCTCCCTCCTTCCTTCCTGTTTCACCCCTCAACTCCTGCATGCCACGTGAGGACATCTGTGGGCCAGGCAGAGGGCTTCACCCAGGACTGAATTGGCTGGCGCCTGGATCGTGGATCTTCCCCACCTCCAGAACCATGGGAAAGACATACTGCTTAAGCCACCCAGTCTGGAATTTTGTTACAGTGGCCTGAGCTGACTGAGACACACTCCATTTCCTCAGTGTGAAACTGGCATGAACTTGCAGTCCACAGCTTTTTAAGAGCTGGTGATAAAGGCAGACACAGTCCTCCAGGTGGCCCTTGGTCATCTCTGCAGCTCTGTCCCCACCATTCCTGCCTGCCTGCTTCAGACTCCTGCAGCTTCTGGCTTTCCTGAGGTTGCCCTGCCTGCTGGTTTCTGAGCTTGGCACTGCTCCACTTTGTCTGTGCAGCCCATCCCTCTCACAGGGACAGTGACTCTCCCTAGAGCTTCAGGGCGTGGCTCAAGCATCCCCTCTGGAGGGGAGCCCTGGTTGGCTCCCCAGCGTCCATTCAGCTCCCCTTTTTGTGCATTCCCAGTACCCTGTGCATGCCTCTGGCACAACAGGATCACCCTGAGGTGGCTGTTTCCTTAAAGATCCACGCCCTCCACAGTTTGTGAATGTCTGTCTCATTCATCTTTGTGCCCCCAGCCTCTGACACAGTGCAAAAAACATAGTGCACAGCCATAGATTTGAAGAAATAAATACATTTTTACACAGGCTAGAGAACATATTTAGAATGTGGAATCCACAGGGGATGTTTGTGTCATGTCAGGATATCCTGAGGAAGAACAGGGAGGACCAAAAACTGGACCTGTCCTATTTCCAGCGCTTCTGGACAGACCTCATCACAAAGGAAGAAATTAATCCTAGACCTCACTCACCTCTCACTGACAGCAAGGTTCTCTTGCTTTAAATAGCCCAGAAAAATGTTGAGGACCCAACTCGTCACCTTTTTTGGCTCTGCCCTAGTTTCTTTCATCACATTTTGGAAGAACTCCAGTAGGCCGACTTCATTCTGTTAAAAAAAAAAAAAAAATTATATAAAGCCTCCCCAAAAATGAAAGATCAGCATTCTGAAGGCAAATCTGAAACTGTCACCCTTTACCTCCTCCGAGACAGCCACTTTTTCTTTGCTAAACCCTGAGATGTTACCAGAAAATTCTGATCACTTTTAGCTAATGAAAACTATTCTACTACTGTCACTGTGCATTTACATAGCATTTTCTCAAAAGAATAAACACATTTTAGAGAGCCCTGATTTTGCAGACCAGAGGATGGTGAAATTCCACAACCCCAAAACTCACTTGCTTTCTCCGTGTCTGCCATGTGCAACCTACAACCTCCAGCCCTGAGTTGTACACTGGGCCTAAAATGTCTGGCCTGAGTTTAACACCCCTTTCTCTTTCCAGGCCTGTCCTCTGCTAAAGTCCTAGTGCTAGAAAAGAGGGTAAAAAAACAAAGCAAATCAAGAAAGAACAAACAGAATATTCTATCTCTGAAAAATCAAAAGTGGATCATAACTGTATGGAACCTCACATAATGACAAAAGTAGACAGGGATGGTTCTGAAATGTTTTCAAAATGAGGGAGAACATGGGCACATGTGACCCACTTAGGCCACTTAACAGCAGGTAGAGGGGCAGCAGCCTCCGAGCCTTCTGACTTGAGCCACGTAAAACAGACCCTGCCTCTCACTGTGTTCTGGGAAAACGATCAGCTGAAGATTTCTTTCATCAAGACTGTACCGTTTCTTCTCCTCTGGACTGTCAGCCCATGAATCAGGGCTGGGCTCTCCTTGTTCACGCTATGGCTACAGCTAAGCCACGCTGGACCATGGCAACTGCTCAGTAGTAGGTTGGTGCAAAAGTAATTGCGGTTTCGCCATTCCTTTCAATGGCAAGAACCGCAATTATTTTTGCACCAACCTAATATCAGCAGATGGAACTGGTATCCCCCATCAGCATGTATGTGTGTTGGAAATCACACATGAACACTCATTCTTATCATACTATGTTCACCTCTAAATACCGCAACATCCACAATTATGCATATGACCAGCCCTAATGCACTTACCACGTCCTGTACTACAGCTCGCTGCCAGCTCAGATAGTTTTGGCAGAATCAAGACATTTAGCTAAGTCCACCCCCACTATTTCTTTTTTTTTTAATTTATTTTTTTGAGTTGGAGTCTCACTCTGTCTCTCAGGCTGGAGTGCAGTAGCGCGATCTTGGCTCACTGCAACCTCTGCCTCCTGGGTTCAGGCGATTCTTCTGCCTCAGCCTCCCGAGTAGCTGGGACTATAGGCGCGTGCCACCACACCCTGCTAATTTTTTTTCTATTTTTTTAGTAGAGACCGAGTTTCACCATGTTGGCCAGGCTGGTCTCGAACTCCTGACCTCAAGTGATCCGCCCGCCTCGGCCTCCCAAAGTGCTGGGATTACAGGTGTAAGCCACAGCACCCTGGCCACTCCCACTATTTCAATAAGAAAAATAAAAACTTGTGCTTCTCAGGAAGGGAAGGCTGAAATTTCCAAATTCAGAGGATATATATGTTAAGTAGTAGATCTTCCTTACCTATGGAAATTCAAATCAAACCACACTTTTCTTGAAATATTCCTTTTAAGTTCACATTGCACCTAAGGCTCCCACCTCTACTCCTTTCAGAGATCTTTCATTAACCAAAAGAACATTCTGGAAAAAATGAGATACTGGGAAGAAGCAAGATATTCTAACAAAAGGGCTCTCCAAGTGTAGCTATTGTAGCTGCTAGAATACACACACAGGCACAGTAGAAATTCCATAATAAAAAAAACCCCTACATGTTCTTTGTAACAGATAAATTCTCTGGTGACAAGCCTACTGAATAATCCTGTAATCATCTCTTGAATCTCTTTTCAAGCCAGTGCTATTATTCTGCTCATGCTAAACCAGGGCAGAGGCCACCTCGGCAGACCAAGCTGACTACAGATAAAGGCAGAGCCAGGCAACTCGAAGAGGAAGTTCTGCTTCACTTATGGAAAAGTATTCAAACTTCCACAATAGTACACAAATCACTGGGGAAACAGAAAACTGCTATCTGGCCCAAATCAGACGGGCAGAATTCCCTTTGTTCTAACCCAGACAGGCTGGCCCACTGGTAAAATGAGCTATCAGGAGAACTCTTTGCTTTGCCAGGGAAAGGGTTTTCTAAATCCACCTAGAAATATTGCACTTAAACTCACAGGCTTGGCTGAGTTGCTGGGAAGTGATGAATATCTATTCCTCTACCCTTGGGTGGTTTTTTTATGGGATGGATAACACGGCAAGTCAGATTTCTGTTTGTCTTTTCATGTCAGTTCTGTGATGAAGCCTCTCTGAGCTGGAACTGTATTTCACTAGGGGATACATGGTTTCAGTCCACAATTTAAAGCAGACAGGAAAATCTGCAGTGGTGATGGGGTGGAGCCATAAGGAGTGGGGCTGAAGGAGGCCGAGCCACAGCCACCCAGGGAATGATGGATCAATAAAAGCTGCACATGGCCCGCACTGCTCTTCACAGCAGAAGCCCGCTTCTCAGGGAGGAACACACGCATTCTAGTTTCCTAGTCTTCTTAGTTTTTCCATGAGACGGGAAATGCTAATAAGCTTGGCACGCATCTCAGAAGTCTCCGGTGAACATGTCAGTGCAGCCATCTGGTTTTCTGAGAAAAACAGTGAGCCGGTAATTCCCTTACATAAAAATCATATGAAGAGCAATGCGGAAAGGCCACCGCACTAGGGGAACTTTGACATCCTCCCCAAAAGCAACAAGCAATCATTCGACTCAGGATGAATCTACCCTACATGCGACAGAACTGCAACTTCAGCGACACAGAGAGTCATGGCCCCTGGCTGACTGTGACTCTAATTGTTCCTTCAGAGACAGCTAAAACAGCAGGCATGACTGGTCCTGTCTTTTTTATAATACCAGTCTTTATAGCTCTATGACTGGAAAGCATCTTTTGCACATTTTAATCAAATTTCCCAAAGCACTGAATTACACCAGTAATTGTAAACTGGTTTACATCAGTAACCAGTACCTGCTCAGCTTCTCAGACACAAATGTGAACCCTTGATTGCTAACGATTTGTCAGGTGATCAATGTTAGTCAGGGCCCGCATACCACCGTTGCCTGCTCAGCGAAGGAACCTCTATCTACCCTTACACCAGGCCCTGGGAGCAATCTGCCCAAAGCTGTCTTCTGCATCCCACCAGATGATCAAATGCAAAATGGTGGAAGACTGTCCAGTTGGAACAGGATGAAGGCTGATTTCTCAACTGCATTTCTTGTTCTAAGTCACACACCCTGTGAAGCTGATGACAAGCCAGAAATGAGGACTATATTTATTTACGAGAAGGTAACCTGATAGAACCAACTGCCCAGTGGGAGATTCAGAGAAGAAAAAGCAGTCCAGAAGAATGCGAGTTGAGGAATAGCTGGTTATGTGACAGGGAGTGTCCCGACAGCTACAAGGGATCCCAGATGAGCCATTCTGGGCTAGTCAAAGGTGCTCAAGGATATCTACTGAGTATCTGCTAGATACGGAGATCAGCACCAGGCCCTGAGGGTGGCTGCATGAGGCTGCTGCTGAGGATAATGATAAGCAGAGCTAAAACAGCAGCAGTGATGGGAACCAGGCACTGTCTACGCACTCTCTCCACATTACCTCAATGAATCCCAACAACAAACCTCTGAGCTCAGCTCTCAGGACTCTCTTTTACAGATGAGGACATGGAGGCACTAACTTGCTTGAGGTCGCATGGGAATAGAGCACTAGAACTAGGACCAAACCTCTGTAGTCTGTGCTTCTAACCTCTGCGTGGCACTGCCTTCTAGGAAGGAAAGGTCCTGGTCTTTGCCTGCCTGGGGACTGAAACTGAGCACTCAGGAGTGCCAGGCACAGCAGGAGGCAGCCAGCTCACCTGACGAACGTGCTTTCCCACACTGCCATTATTTTATTTGAGAGCTGCCAGCTGATCAAAGGTTCTTAACATATGAAAAATGTTGCAAGGAAATTGAGTTTGAAATTAGAAGGCAGTAGGTATACACTGCCTTTGCCAGAGCTCCCCTGCCCCTCTCCTGCCCCTGCCTCACCTCTGCATCCCCTCTCCTGACTACTGCTGCCCCAGAATAGTCCTGAGAACACACCTAAACCTGGACACTGCACAATCCTGAACAAGACGAATCCTGTTACTTCCCATATTGTTTTGGTATTAATCATATTGTATTTTATTTATTATTGCATTCTAATTCCTCTAATAGGGTAACTCCCACCTAACTGGGCAGGTCATGCCTGGGAGCTGCTGACTATACAGAGACTCTGCATCTGCAGACAAACCACAGGGGTTTCAACTGGACAAGGCTCTCCCATGTCACAACATGTCATTTTGCAGAGGAACACACACTGGAATTGCATCCATCCCCTTTTTGGCGGGGATGCTGGGGTAAGCAGACACTGAACATTTGGGCAGATGTTGGAGGAGGCTCCTCACCTGTGTATCAGTGCAGGCTCTGCTGTTTTATTATTCCTGTGGATTTGGTCATTCTTACAAAGTGAGAAAAACAAAACTCAAATACAACAGCTATGTAAAAAATGGCCCTGAAAATAACGCCAAATGCTAGTGCTGGGGATGGCAATGAAGTAAAGAGGCCCGAGACAGCGATGGCTCTCAGGCAGAAAGCAGGCGTCAGGGCAAGGCTAAGGACTGGAATGTTTAGGGGGGCAGTGGCTCAGGTGGGTGATGGGAATCGGTGCCCCTCTGCTTTTCACAGAAACAGGAAGCGGCTGCGAACATCTTTCAGCAAGTACTCCTGTGGACAGAAAAATTATGCATCAGGAGAGGCCTCTTCAGTGGAGAAAACAAGGAAGTTATTAGTGGTGTGAGGCTGGCACAGGAAACACGACACCCCTCAAGAGCGCCAGGAGAAAGCCAGAAGAGTGCAGAGCCGCCACTGCTGCCGGCGAGAACATGGGGACCTGCGGAGGCTCTCAAATG